TAGGCTGCAGGGTCTGGGGAGTAGTTGAATACCCTTGCTTTTAATGGTGGCATCAACCGCTCATGAGATAAGGAAATTTAAACAAATGCTAATGGGAAGTGACTTGGTGTGTGGGAGGCTGTAGGAATAAAGGGCTTTACGGCAGCAGAGCCTCTCCTGATTGCTGGTGCTGTTGGTGATCTGCTGCAGACCATGGGCTCCCTGGTTTGGGCTGGGCTTTGATGTTTTGGAAAGTCTCCATGCCTTCATCCCATTTGCTTATGYTGAATTGAAAACTCAACTGTTAGCAAAATCCTCTTATCAAAAGATGACCATAACTGTTGTCCTAAACATGAATATAGGATATAGAATATTCTAGCCAGGTGAAAACCAGGGCCAGTTACCAGTGTTTCATGGGCTTGTCAGCAATCCTAAAGAGTTTTGGAGCCCTGTTTTCTGATGCTAGTATAACTAAGAGCAGGGGGCCATTGTTTGTGTTGGAGATGGCCCCGGCGCTCCTAGAGAAGCACGCTGAGGGGCTTTGCTGCAGAGGGACGTGATGAGTTTGTTCTGCCGTTGCTTTCCAAAGCACACGGTCCCTTTCCAGAGTTAGTGAGGGTGGGAGGAGAGGACACGGAATGCRAAAGCCCTTTGCAGGCCTGCCCTGCCGCCCTTGCCGGTGCACGGCTCCTGGGAACGGGCCCGARTGTGTCCCCTCCTGTTAATCCTTCGCACTGGTCAGGATAGGGACAGATCAGCAGAGGTCAGCAGGGATTTACTAATATAAGCACATGCCTTCCTGTTGCCATGGAAACATAACTCTTTCCGTGCCTTGATTCAGCGTTTCCTTAGCAGTCGTGTCACTCGTGGTGCTTGGGGTGGAGGGGTTCCCTTTCTGCCCTCGGCATCCTGCTCCAGCAGGAGGTCTGACTGGTCGGGCTCTCCATCCTTCGCCGTCGAGGCCCTTGACGGTTCCTGCAGCCCACCTGCGATCGCGGGGCGTTCGGGCGCTGCTGCTGCGAGACGGCGCTCACCCCTGGGCTGTAGCTGGACTTGTTCTGATTGTTGTAGCAAATAGGCCAGGTATCGTGTAATTGAAGGGACCCTTCTCTCCACAAGAAGTGGAGAAGCCCTTCATGAAAGATGGAGGTCATAGGGAGCAAGATTTGAAACTCAACAGGGCCAGCTCGCTCACAAAAGGTATTTACTGCATGCAGTATGGGTCGTAACTTTAGAAATATGGATAGATGCTGTCTTTTCTGAAAATATATCATTAAAAAAATGGAGGAGGCTGTGTCCAACTCTTGTGTAGAACAATTTGTTAAATATAAATAGAAATACTAAGCATGGAGTAGGGCAGCTCTTCAGGGCCTGAAACTTGTTACTTGTCACACTGATATCAGTGTGAATTCAGAAGCAAACAAAATACTCCCTCTTCGTTGACCTTCTCTCATTTTGATGGTCATATCATATTTAGTTAGACAAAGTTGGACAAATTGAAGCACAAAGTTGAAGTGACTTTTTAAGCTCACGTTAAGCTTTTTGCCAGACCTGGAAATAACCTTCTGGCAGCCTCACTCTTCATCCCATTCCCCTCCTACCTGTGGCTATTAGCATTTGGCTGAGAGGTTGTACCCACTAGAGAGTGACAGGATGAAAATGTTCCTTGAGTTGACGAAGAGGTTACAGTGAGCATCTCCTATGAGGCCAGCTATGTTCTCACCTTGAAGTACCCCTCACCTGGCAGTTTCCCAAGGCTTTGGAAAAACAACCTCTTGAGAAGGGAAAAGCAAAAAATACAAGCGAGTAATCACATCTCCCATGCAGGGAAGTAATAAAATGAGGTACCCTCTTTGTCACCTGTACAGTCTTAGCAACTCCGTGTTGCCGCCTCTGATAAAACCTTTTCTTGCCTGTAGTGCTAACGGATCATCAGAAGGGAGTGGGGAACCTGTGAAAGAAGTTATTTCATTGCAAATGGGAGAAATTACTGTTTGCTTAAGTGGAGATTAACCTGTTTGCTTATTTCAAACCTCTTCCTGCTGCCCTGTCCTTACCACTCCCCCCCAGCTCTCCTCACCCGTGCGGTGATCCCAGTCCCGATCCCAGTCCCGGCTTTCTGATGTGGGATAGTACTGGCAGCCCCAGGCAGGGAGACAGAACTGCTCCCAGCACATCTCAGTTGCCAAATCTCTCATTTGTTTCTGATTTATTTTTGTGTGGGTAGAAAACTGACTGCTGCAACCTCTCTTAGATAAGTTTATTTAATAAAAGCATAAATCTCGTGTGTGTTCTGTAGTTCTCCTGGAAGTTACTGTAAGCAGTAGAACTTAATGTGTGGGACTTGTATCTAACCAGTGCAGCATTTTCTCTTGAACACATATATATGTATTCAGAACAGTCAAATAGATAATCAGGTATGCTGCGTTTCCTCATAACTTCTGACAGGATGAAGGGGAAAATGACTATATGTATACACTTTTTTTTCACCCTCTGGGTAATAGGCAGCTAAATGTTAAACATTAGAAACTGCCCTGGAAGATTCTGTAGGAACTGTTCAACTAATGAAATTACAGTATCACCAGCAACAAAAGAATTGCTTTTGAGAAACAGAAGWGATTTTTAACCACAACTTTTTAATTCCATTAGCAAACAAAGGCTTTGCRGAAGAAAGACTGTGTTAAGGACTACAGTGTCCTCACTATAATCCAGTGTAGGAGTTGGAGATGTTTGCATAAAACCCCCAAAGATTCTCCAATGAATTCTGCTGTAGCTTTCCTAATGTTCRAGTAAAAGATATCTATTAAACCAATTATTAAAACACAACCTGGTGGTAGAGCTCATCATAGCTCTCTGTTTGCCTTAAAGTGATACAAAAGGTCATAAACCCCATCTTTTAGGGAAATCCTTTGTCAGCTATCTTTAAAGTGTAAAACCAGCCCTGCCCCAACAGAGCTCAATGAATGCTTTATATCTGGCTGTAGTAGCCTTTGAAGTTCCCCCTGATCCACCCCTAAATGCCTGGAACATATTCTTCAAAGAAGCTGCAGTGCTCTCCAGTTTCATTTCAGAGTAGGGTTGCAGGCCTGCACGGCTGCAGCATTTTTTTTTTTTTTTTACCTTTTCACTTACTGAGCATCACAGATTAGTATTCCTCATGTGAAACATAGAGGAAAAATCCATGATATTATTGTTAATCCAACAGCAGTTTCCTTTGTCAAAATTGATAAACAGATCCTGTCATGCCGTGACTTCTTTGACCTAATCTTTGCCATTCTCATAAAATAACGTAGTTTCAATGACATGTTTTCATAGCTGATACCTCTGTTTCTGAGTAGCTACTGTCTACTTATAGACTGTCTGTTATAACAAAAACTGTGCGTGTAGCCTTTGAGATGCCCCTAAGCTGCGTACGCTCACGCTGCTCCGTGGCCGTGGAAAGGCGAGTTTCTTTGGGCTGGAGTTTGCTGCAGGTCAGAGCAGTCGTGTTGCACACGCAGTGCCCTGGGTCTCCTTTTTATCAGATTCTGCTCCTGGTCTCCGGAAGGCGCAGGCTGAGCGTGGTTACTCATTAAGCGTACAAAGGCTCCTATCTCCTGCCTCCTAAAGCTCTTTTGCAAAGTAGTTTCCTGGGCTCCCTGTGCTAATTGCTAAAGAGATTCCAGGCAGATTCCGTCATCCTTGTTTTCTGCCTGACTGGGAATGTGAGAATAAAAGGGTTGATGGCAGAATAATGGCATCGCTGGACAGTGCAATGCACAGCAGCTCACCCCAGCATCACGTGAGGGAGGGGAGGGCGSTGGAGATGATGCTGGAAAGAGAAGGGCCTGTAAATCCCTGAACACCCTCTGTCCCCATCAATACTGCCCCTTAAAAGGAGACTCGGGAAGCCCGCAGTGTTTTGGTGGGAGGCATTAGGGGGAGGTCAGGGCAGGGGCAGGCCTTTGTAAACCAGGCTCCTACAAACCCCTTTCAGGCCCTCAGGCCGGATGCCTTCACCTTCCTCTACAAAGAGGCCGAGGAGCCCATGGGCAGGGAGCTGATAGAAAACCAGTGACACAGATTAACCGATGAGGTGTAGAAGATGCACYGGAGCAAGGCAAATGTGCCCAAAGCTGGGCCAGATAACGAAGGTGTGGATGGGAGAGCGTGGAAGGGCGGCTGGCTGTGCTGCCGGGGCGTGCGCCCTGCACAGCCCCGCGGGGCGCCGGGAGGGCCCTGCCAGCCCCATCGCCCAGCGCCTGCACGGGGCCCAGGGACAGCCCCAAGGCAGCGCCAGGGCAAAGGGCTGACTGCGCGGGGGCATCTGAAGGGAAGGTTGAGTGCTAGTGAATCCTCCGCATGCAGCGTCAGGCCAAGGCAGGATCATCTCCTCTGCAATTGTGGCTGTTTTCTGGATACTGTTTGCCGTTTCTCGACCTTTATCTCTGCTTTGTGGCTGTTTGTTTGTTTGTTTGCACAGATGTTTCCAAAGCATCTGCAGTGCAAATGTTTGCAGTTATCTACCTGTAGTTATCTACAGGTTTAAATGTTTCCTAGCACTCATGCATGGATCAGAGCACTTATGCACTGGGAAACAGCAGAGTAAAAAAATCTGGTACCAGAAAATTGCAGTGGGTTGGAAGGGTTGTCCGTTGCCTTTAGGAGGGGACACTGTATTGCCCTTTGTTATTTACTGTTTTTATTTTACTTCTTTTCAAAGGGTGTAATTTTGTCACTGAATGCGGAGTATAGATCCTTCTAATATCAAGGCAAATATCTCCTATTCCCTAGGCTGTTCTTTCCTTGAATAGTCAGATTGTTTCACAAAATAAATTTGGTGGAAAAAGAAATGGGGGTTTCCCCACGCCCTTCCCCATGACAAACTCTTGGTTCCCTGCTGTCCTTCTGGGTAGTGGCTGGAGCAGCCATTGATGTGGCATCTGGGTGGGTGACCTCTGAAATGTACCTCGTGCTGGGCAGAGCAGCTCCCTTCCTGGGGCTGCCAGCTCGGACTAACACAAGATCTCTCTTCTCAACAGGCACCTCATGCTCTGGGACCGATGGTGGCTGTTCTTCCTCGCCGTGTGAAAATGGAGGCAGCTGTAGGGATTTGGCGGGGGGGTACCAGTGCGCCTGCCCCACGGAGCCGCTCGCCTACACGGGGACAAACTGTGAGCTGCTGTACGACGCGTGCGCTAGCCACCCGTGCCCGGCACACAGGATTTGCCGCGGGACTCTGGGACTGCTGGAATATGAGTGCGTCTGTAGGCCTGGCTTCGCAGGTACTGATTGTAACGTTGATGTTAATGAGTGTGAGAGCAACCCTTGTAAAGACCCTCGTTTTGAATGTGTAGCTAGTGTAAATGGATACACCTGTAAATGTCAAACAGGACTGAATGGAGAAGGCTGCCAGACAGAAAGCTCTGTATGCTCTAGCCGCCCCTGCCTAAATAACGGGACCTGTGTCGAGGGTCCTGGCGACTATTCCTGCATCTGCCAGCCTGGCTTCAGCGGGGCCCTCTGCAGAGACAACATTGATGAGTGCGCGTCCAGCCCGTGCCAGAACGGAGCCATCTGCCGAGACAGGGTGAATGAGTATAGCTGTTTCTGTGTGCCGGGGTTCCAAGGATACAACTGTGAAATAGACATCAACGAGTGCGCGTCCCGACCCTGTAAAAACAATGGCACCTGCCTGAATGAGATGGATCACTATTTGTGCCAGTGCGTCCCCGGCTACACAGGTACCTTTCATGCTCAYGTACTAGCCGGGTGGTTGGGTTGCATCTCACTATGCCTGTAGCTCCACAGTGCGCCTGCTGCTGACACGTGTTCTGGAGGTGTTAGTGTCTGGCCTCGAAAGCTGTTGCRTTGCAGCCCTGAGACTTCAATCTGTTGCATAGCCCAGATTTCTGGAGTGTTCAGCACCATGTGGATAAAGGCATAGTGCTTGCTGTTGGCTTCCAGGCAGTAGATGAGCTTTCATTTCCATGTTGAGGAGAACAGATCCAAAAGCCTTAAGTGGGAACTGTGCGAGACTTGGAGTTCTGGATAAAACATAGATGGGATTAGTCTTCAGGCTGAATTTAAAGGGGGTGTACAAGAAAAGAGATTCAACATCAGAAAGATGGTGTTTGTTTAGCAATATGACAAATCTTTATCTAGCTTGTAGTCCTTTATCCTGTCCTGCAGTATTTCTTAGAGAAAATAGTCTTTTTGGAATAAAGTAGCTTTTAGTTGGAGATTTCTTTTCCAACACCTTCAGGTCCAGAGAATTTTGGTGTTGCATGTGAAGCAAGGGTCTGGCTCTTGTGCACGTGTGCCAACGGTGAGTCGGAGTTATCTGCGAGGGAGGCTCTCGCTGCCTCTTATCAGAGTGGAATGCCGTTGTGCCGCGCTCCGCTCTGCCTGGTACCACTTAGCACATGAACTTTCTCAGCCTTCCTCCTTGTCACAAACTGAAGTGTTTCAAGAAGGAATGCTGCTGATTAGCATTGGAATGAAGAGAAGTTACAACATCAGGAATGCAGTCACTGATGCTGAATCGCTCCCTCTCTGATAAAAAAGAACRGAGATGAGGAAGAAAACCACAGACTTTCTTCATAGACCTTAAAATAACTACTGATTTTGATTATCAAACATAATGCTGCCTATACAGATCAGTGGTTTTTTCTCTTTCTGCTGAACAGTCAGTTCAGGATTGTGGAATAAGCCTGYAGGAGAGGGGATAAAATGGACTAGGCACCTGGAGGAGCTTGGAGTTTTCCAAGTTATTTTGATGTCAAATACAAAGCTTTGCTTTGTGATCTGGTGCTTCATCCAGGTCTGCGAGGCTCTAGCACCATCACTTAGCAGGGACGGGCTGTTTCCTGGGCTTGCAGCAGGAATTTGAGTGAAGGAAGTTTTGTGTGGGCATTGAGGAGTTTGAACCAGCAGATTAGGGGGCCYGCATGCATTCCTCCAGGATTAGGATGGCCGTGCCCACTACGTGGTGAGCCTATGCCAGGAAGGGGGGATTAGATGGATTGGCAGATGCCACTGCAGTGACTAATGTTTGGAGGTGATGTCAGGCCATGGGCAACTCAAAGAGATGGAGGATAGTAGGATAGTTGCATAGGAGTTCTTATTCTGTCAATGAAAGTTGTTATTTTGGAGCAAAATGCAGGACTTTCTGTTATTCTTGGCGAGTAGYATTGGAGCTAATGCCTAACCTTTGATAACATTTCATAATATAATGCTTACTAATACATAGTATCACAGTAATTACAATTTTGCATCCATTCAATGCTTTTTTTCTTAGGGATCTGAAAGCCAAGTTACAAATACCACTTCAACAATTGGAACAATATTTTGGAGAAGGTAGAGATTACTTTGCATAGCCAAAATGCAGCTGCTTACAATGCAGAGCACTGTATCTGATTCGTTTGTGAAGGGCTGATGTTGTGTTCGCTACTTCAACAAACCTGAATGAAAGAAGCTAAAGCTTCATAAATCAAGTGAACTGTTTACTTTTGTTATAAAGCTAAAATCTAAAAGTCTACTCAATCTACCCARAATAATTTTGTGTTTACTTTGTAAACATTGCATATTATCCATCARTCTCTCGTACTCTTACGGCAATATTTATAAAAGACGGCTATGTCAGCCGGTTAGGTTGCTAACATGGCTTTTGTGATTCCAGCTCAACATTCCAGGCAGCACACTTGCACTTCGTTGGATTCGTAACACAGCCGTTTCTTTCTTTTGTAATCAAGGTGTAAACTGTGATGCTGAAATAGATGAATGTGAGTCAGAGCCTTGCCAGAATGGGGCCTTGTGCAGTGATCATGTTGGGTTCTACAGCTGCGCCTGTGCAGCAGGTTACCAAGGAGTGCAGTGCGAGGAGGACATTGATGAATGTGCGAGCCAGCCCTGCGAGCACAACGGGACGTGTCACGACCTTATTAACGGGTGAGAGATCTGTGGCGTTTCGACCGTTAGATACCCGGAATGGTCTACAGTTCTACTTACTGTAACCTGTCAAAATTAGGGTAAAAATCCACGAAATGAATTGGATTTAGTGTATTCTGCACCCCTGTGGTCCCACCGTCGATAATTCAGAGAAGGATTTGCAGCAGTACATACACCCCTTCCACCAGCAGAATTCTTTGGATCCTCAAAGGAGGGTAGGAAGATTGCTTGTATTGCTTCCAGCTGTCATATTAGGTACAAGGTACATTATCAGCAAGGTACAAGGTACATTATCAGCAAAAGTAACTGCCTGTCTAGGCTGGGAACATACCTGTCTGTCTGAATTTGCCTTATAATAGGTAAGGGGTGAGTTCAGTGTCTCTGCTGGGATTGGTCTGCCCTGCCACTAGTGTACCCTCTTGGAGCACATAGAACTGTATTTTCCTCTCCCCTGCAAGTCAGTGCGAGGACTGATAGCTTAGCTCTGTTTGCTCTGTGCTTATCAAATTAAGAGCTTCTTCATTGCTCTGCTTTGCTGCCCCTCAGATACCGTTGTGACTGCAGTGACACAGGCTTTGAAGGGGACCACTGTGAGGTGGATATTCTGGAGTGTGCCTCTGGACCCTGCCTGAACAGTGCCACGTGTGTGGAGGGGATCAAGAACTACAACTGTGCCTGCTGGCCAGGTAGGTTAGAGGACTGTTTTGCTCTGTTGTCTGAGCACATTGTAGTGGGAAGCACGTGCTAAATCACCCCACTGAGGAATGAMGAGTCCGTGATCATGCTGCACGGTCCAGTGTGGTTTTCTTTATTCCAAGCAGTAAGGCTGCCACTGCTCCCTTTAGAGGCTGTCCCAGGAGCCAGCTGATCTTGTCAATGGGAACTGTATCCTGATTCTCATCTGTAAAATCTCCCTTCTCCTCTCTGCCTTTTTCCATCATGCTCTTTTCCATCGTGTGTTAATGCTTTTCTGGAAATCAGCTGTCTGGCACCTGCCTTTGACACACTGAAATAAACAGGACCCTAGGATTTCCTGCTAGCTAAACCACAATGTTTCTGGCTCTTATTTTCACCTTTAAAGCAGCTGCAATATTTGGGTGCCTAGTGTCAGTGAGGTTGTGTAAGACGTTCCCACTACTGCTCCATGGCAGGTTACACAGGGCAGCGCTGTGAGGAGGACGTGGATGAGTGTGCTGCAGGGCCCTGTCACAACGGAGGGCTCTGCTTTGAGCGCTCCAACCAAGCCTATTAYGGAGCACGGCCTGACTTCCCCAGTGAGTTCAGCTACAGCCAAGCAGCTGGTTTCCTCTGCTGGTGCCAGCCAGGCTTTGCAGGTGAGTTRCACATTAAATGTCCCATCTGTCTGCACCTGATGAAGACTGTGCAGTTGGAGGTTGCTATCTGTGCATAAAAAAACACTTAGTGACTGGTACTTGGAGGGGGCACAGCCCGAGGCATCAGGAGCGAGCACATGTTCATGTCCTGTGCTTGTGTGAGCAGGCAGCTGTCTGAGTGTCGTTCTCTGCCAGCAGGCCTCCCTTAACACCCCCTTTCACTAGCTGAGGCAACAGCCTCTGCCTTTTCCAAGTGCTCTGAATACCCTATGGCTATGAAAATGCCAGGGCGGATTCTCTTTGTCAGTCTGTCATGCATGTGGCAGAATTCATTCCTACAAGATAACTGAAACACTCCTCATAAGAGACAGCTAATGCCCTGGAGTCCCACATAACTATCCTAGGTGTTCCCTTGGTGAGACTATTCTCATGACAGTAGCTGTATAATCAGAGTGAGTAGGAGGAGAGGGGGATCTTGATATCTTGCTCGTGGAGTTAGAAGCTCTGTGGATGTTCCAGTGAAATATTGCCTTTCCTCTCATTTGTCAAATATTTATACAAGCATTGATTTAACAGCTGAGAGAGGCTCCCTAGAAGGAGGGGTTAATACTTCTTTCCTTTCTGAGAGAAATGAGAATTTGGTCTACCCTTGCACAGCTGGAATGGCTGAAAGGTTCTGATCCTGCCATTGCTTCATGTTGTGACACTGGCAAATCATTTGGCTTTTACTTATTTTCTTTTGCCTTATTTTTTTAAATTCTTATATCTATATATCAGAGTGTCTGGAGAGACAAGTAATAGTTCACATAATCCTTTTGCATGCTTAAATGACAGATAAGAACAAGAAATTATGAATGCAATTATCATTCACATTCTCTCATCCCCTGAAGCATGTATGCCCTCAAGATGACTATTTGTATTTTCACTTTAAAAGGGGAGACTTGCTCTACTAACATTGATGAATGTGAAGCCCAGCCGTGTCAGAATGGAGGGCACTGTGTGGACCTTATTAATGGCTTCCTTTGCCATTGCCCACCTGGATATTCAGGTAATGTGGCTGAAAGGGGTGGCTTGGGTGAGCTCAGTCCAGGTAACTGGTGCTGAGGGCCTGGCTTGTTGCTYGGCTGCACGACTGGATTCCAGCACTGGCTGCCACGGCAGCTGAACAGAACCGAGATGGACTGTGTGGAGCTCAGGTGCTGCAGAGGGAGTTCTGCTCAGGACTCAGGTGGCTTGGGGGCGCTGGGTGGTTTTGCTGAGGTACATGATAGGCTATGAAGTAGGTTGTGACACATGTTGAAGAGCCTAAGACCAGACTAGGTAGGGCACCTGTATCCTGSAGTGAAAGTTCATTGGGAAAACTATGTATGTTTTATATGTGTTATGAAGGTGAACAAAAGCGACCTTCAAATAAAAACATACATGCAGAAGAAAAGGGTGCTTAACATTCTGGCTGTCACCAGTTTACTGACTATAGCYGATTGGATTACCAGCACATAAGACATCTGTAAAACATCTCTATTCCCTAACACCCCTGGATGATAAGAGCCAGGGGTTTTTGGTTGAAGGCAGTAATCTGCTATGGCAAGAGGTCAAAAGGTCCCTGTGATGTGAGCAGATGAAGCCGTCTCTRTTTACAAGGACCTGGGCGTCTGGATTCTTCCAGAATGCCCTGCCTGACCCTGGCAGCTTTGGGTTTCCTGGCTGTGAAGCAGTGACATAGGGAGCGTTGCCCAGCAGCTCCACTGGAAGGTGCGCAGCTCTTTGCGCCGAAGGTGGCTGTGGCTGCTGCCTCCTCACTGTTCCACAGTGTAAAAGGTGTCACGGGTGTCTTCCTGCATCAGAAGATGGGGTGAACACAAGGCTGTGTATTGCACCTTCGCTATGTTGGTGCAAACTAGCTATTGCAATAGATAGGTCCTAGCTAGCAGAGCTAACTGTTTTTTTTCTTGTCTTTGCTATATGATTTTTTTATTGTACATGCCTAATGTTTGTTCACAAACATATGATGATTTCTTTTATGTTATTTCCATGTTCACTAGCTCAGCACAAAAACTGAGAGGAATGTCTTGTAACAAATAACCTTTGCACCGYGGTGTGCAGCTTGTCGCTGCCTGGCAGAGGCTGCTTTGGTGCTGGCTTGGGAGAGCCCTTCTTTGGAGCTGCAGCCCCTGGCACAGATTTTCCCCTATTTCCATGTTTGACTGATGCTAAAGCTCATCTCCTTTTAAAGTGTTTGTACTCTGTCTTCTGTGTCTTTTAACTGTGTGCATACTCTTTTTTTCCCTTAATTTGACCCCAAAAAATAGTTGATAAGAAAGGTGGTCCCCAGCACAGCCTTGTATGGACCTAGTTTTGAAGCAGGTGTGGCCTTTCCGCAGTGTTGCTGCCATCTCGTGGGAAAAAGAAAAACTTGAAGCCAGGAGAATACCTTGTCGTTTGACTTCTTGGAACAGGAGGTAGTGGCTTTTCTTAGAGCCTTGTAGGGTGGGACTGAAGGGAAAATTTTCCATTTGCCTTCTGTGGCAGCGCTAATGGAGTTGTGCTGGCCTAAACCTGCAGCCCTTTCYTGGGAAGACCCGGGACAGAGCTGCTGTCACTCCTGGAATCTCAGCCCAGCTTGTGCTTACATTYTAGCACTCAGGTGAATTCCTTGAGGGCTTCGAGGTAAATCTAGTTTGCTCTCTACCTCATTTAGACTAGGTCAAGAAAACCTTGTTTTTGTAGGTGAGATTTTTAGCACCGGCTTTTCTCTAAGCTCTGCTTTGGCACAGCTTCAGTAGTTAGAGTGCTGTAGTCCAGAGAGGAGATGTCCAGATGAGACGACTTGAAGCTTATCCTGCTTGTCAGAATTCCCCCGCACCCGTGTGCCCGTCTCGCTTTTCCTTCCCGGTGCCCCAGCATCCCTCGCGGAGCGCAGCGCTCCGTTGCGGTACCAACCTGCAGGCCCCTCTAATCCTCTCTAAGTCTTAGTTTGCTCCTGGGCAGCAAAGCTGACATCCAGCACAGGATGGTGGGCAAAGGAGAGCTGCAGTTCATTCCTGCCTTCAGGTTGGGGTTCATTAGTACTTGAAGGGGATTAGAGGCAGGTTGCTCTTCTGGATATTGCTTTTGGTAAAGGACTTTGTCTCAGCCGAGGTGTTCTGACACGGTAACGCGGGGAGCCGTCTCGGAGATCAGTGAGGGCATGTGGAGGAGTGAGGCTGACAGGGAAATAATAGCAATTAATCTCTCCTCCTTTGTCAATTAATCCCAGTATAGTCATGCTGGGTAAACAGCTTATTACTTCATATTAGGATCACAGAGCAAGTTTGTGAAGCTTCCCATGATGTTTCTGTTCAAAACACATTTCTGTGGCAACTTAGATCTGCCATGAACTTAGACTTAAGCTGCCTCCGCTGATTAAAGTGAACTTGCTACTCTGAAGAATGCTTTCTTGGGGCGGCAGGAGGCTGCGCTCTGCTTCTTTCCTTCATCTCAGGAATTTGGGGAGTGTTGGGATAACAGTATGAGTCAGGTCAGGAGAAAATCTTTCCTTGCAAATTAACTACCTCAGTCCTGTCTCAGTGTTGCAGGGAGATGAAATGAGACTTCCTCTGTAATGGAGTTGTCCCCAGAATGATGTGCCTCATTCCCGAGAGCGCTCCTAGGAGGCCCTGGAAAAGCTGTGCCGTGCGTCAGCCTGTGCCCAAGCAGAGACCTTGCTCCCTGCGAGGGTGTCACAAGTGTGAAGCGGATCATCGTGCGGCTGCTATGCGAACAGAGAAGGAGAAGGAATCTTGGGTGGTCTTGGAAATGGCGACTGTTGAGGCTCATAGTTTTTTAATAAGCTTTTTCCTTATTAAAGAAAGCTAGTCTTTCAGAAAAACATAAGAACAAAATGAATAATTTATTCATAGTAAACAGTTTTGTTCATCATGTTTGTACTAGGCAATGACTTAGGCTAGGAAGTCAAAAAAAGACTTCTACCTCCATCTGGAAAGGAAAGAGACTCCTAGCCTAGAAGAACATCATTACTAATGTGCAGTTTGCCTGGTTCTTTCCTTAAAAACCTCTAAATGAGTGCCAGCCAAACTCAAATAGGCTTGAATTTCTTGATTATGGGTTAAGCATAAAATCTCGTGAAATAAGGAGGAGATACTTCTTCCTTTTGAACATCATTGAGTAGAATTATTTGTTTGTTTTGTGCAGATGTTTCCAAATTTGAGGTTTGTTTTAGAGATGGGCCGCCACAGAAGAGGCAGCTAACTAGTTAATATTGTAACAAGATTAGAGGAGTCTTAGCCCTTGGACAAAATCCCTTGTAGTAAATACAGCTGAAGGGGAGGGAGAAAATACTTCATGAGACCCCCCCCCCTTCCTTCTGTGGGGTGAGTGACTTCTGTGTACGGACTGTAGACAGCAGCACTTGGTTCTCAGATCCTCAGTAAAAATGTGTAATCCGTTTTTAGAAGAGTTTAATAGATTTTGTCTTAAGAAAGACATATGAGAGCTCCCTTGATAGCCCTTTAGTTAATCAGACTGTTTAACGGTCAGCAACTCTGATAAAATTTACTTTACTGATGAAAATTGGTGGCCTCCAGCTTCATGTCCTCTTGAGAATTAGGCCAGGCAAGTGCCAAGGCAGACAGCATCTCCTGTGCACAGGTGTGGCAAGATTGCTGTCTTTGAAGGGCATCTTACCAAGGGGTGACTTCAGTTGCTAATTTCTGTCTGAGAAAAATATATGAAATTTGAACACTTCTATCCAAACTTCACTGTTTTCTGACATTTTTCTGGTAAGGACCCTCTGAGATATCTTGTATTCTTTATCTTCKGCTCATCCAAGAAGTTTTTGCAAATGATTAGGAATTCTGAGAAGTTTTGATGGTGATGAATGCTCTCCATCTCCCTCCCACTTAAAATATCTCTGCAACTGTCTGGTATGTTTGGACTGAGTGAAGAAAGTTAACTAACTACAAGAGTTGCTGGAATGCTTTCTTTAATATGTTAAAGTGATGCTGCTCATGCAGATTCTCGCCTCTGCCTTGTGGGAGTTCTTGTTTGCTTGGACCTGACACTGATGCTGTCACAGGCTGGAGGCTCAGAGAAAAGCTCCCAGATATAAATTACAGAATTTATTATCTATATTTGCAGAAATCAGAACCCTCTCCAGTACAATATGAATGTAGCCGTGTTTTCTTTCAAAACCAGATTCACGGCAAAATAGAAAAGCTGTTTTGGCCCCACTGCCTGTTGCTCTAATTGTGGCACCCGGCAGAGTGGCCGGGAGTGGCCAGGGCAGGAGATTGGCCCTTGACTTTCCGCTGCCGGAGCTAATGCTGCGGATGCACAGGGCTTTGCTGCCGTGCTGGGTGCGATAGCGGCGAAGGCGCATTCCTCGTGTCAGCACTGACAGGAGYCAGCTGGGGAGGTTTAGAGCAGGGCTGGATTAGATCTCTCTGCAGYGCAGGTCTCTCTTATATTGGCTGGTTTCATCTCCAATCCCTTTTTGCCTGCCTGGCATCAGGGAGCGCTCGCGYGTATTCCGCTCTTTCAGTCCAGCCCTTGGGCTCTTCCCCCCCATTCTCCCCCTTTTTTTTTTCTGTTACTGTCACCAATGTCCACAAGGAGTCGGCCATGAAATCTGTGCTGATTGGCGTGATCCTGAATGGAATTTTTCTGCTAGCAGGTAACAAGATCTATGGAGCAAYTGCAGTGTGTCCTGGCTGTTTGCGTGCCTGCACAGGGCAGGGAGCGATTAGTGGTAGCTGGAGGCACAAGAAGAGCAAGAATTCAGTAGAAAGGAAGAATGTTTTTATTTGTTCTATCTGAAGTTTTGTTTTGGAAACCTTAGGGCCCAGGAATTCCCTTGTTGCTGCATGGTGAACGCTGGGCAATCAGCATGTCCCACATGCCTCTTTGCTGCCGTTCCAATGCGTTTTGGGGTGTTTCTCCGAGGCGTACGTCCTTGTTTCACGCTCAGGTGTACTTTGTAAACACGCCGGTGTCTCGTGTTAGTTCTACAAAGCATTAGTTTTGCTTTTTAAAGAGTGTTTTGGCATTTTTCCCTTTTCCTTTAGCGATTTAAAACTGCTTTACCGTAAAGTAGCCTTTGCTTTAGCAGGGAGGACAAACCCCTCGCCAGCGCTTCCCCCTCCGTGCCTGTCTCCCTGAGCGCGGTGGGAGAGAGGTCAGAGCGGGTGTTGCCATGGAAATGGCAGGAATGGTGCAAATATAATTGTGTCGGTGCGTTTGTTGCTGCTAATTCTCTCTGTCTTTCTCACTCTCCCCCGTGCCCCCCTCCCCTCTTTCGCCTTGGCCCTAACAATAGGAACCTCATTAGGATGCAGCAGGGAAGGCTGCCAGGAATGCGGGGCTGGGGGAGCGGGGAGCCCGGCCGGCACCCCGCTGCCCTCCCAGCCTCGGGAATTAATGGCAAGGGCCCAGCGACTGCCTCGTCCTCAGAGCTCTTCTGCGGTGCTAAATCATAATCTCTTTCTTTCTGTTGTTTTCTTCTTCTGTTTGTTTGTTTGACATGCATATCTGGTGCATTGTATAATTCCTGCGTATGCATAATGAATCTTTGCTCGTTAATAGCAGCAAACTATTACTTTAAGAGAATGGTAGAGTATATGAATTTTAATAACACTTGCATCTATGAAATGAGACTGTTCTTGTCACATTGATAATGCTTTAGAAATCCTTATGGGAATAGGTGTGTATGGAAAGGCTCCAGGGTTCACCCTGGAGGCTGTTCAAGCTTAGCCAGATCTTGAGTGTCTGTTTCTGACCCAGCTCCTGTGGTTTGGGGACTGTTAGCTTGAACACTGCCAAATTAACCGGAATATTTGAAAATAATTGTGTGCAGATAGCAGCATTTTAAATAGCACTCGTCTGGTTTGCAGATAAGAATTTCTACTGTTTTTAACAAAGTAAAGAAACTCATTAAATGTTTTGAAGCAACCTAAYGATACAGTGAATTAGATTGGTGACTTACTGTTGATAGTCCAAATATAAAGATTTGAGCTAGAAGATATAGCGGGAGCAGAGAAGACTTGCAGAGTAAATTCTTAGGTAATACAGAGTCTCCTCCTTTTTTTAATTCTTGAGAAGGAATGCCTAAGCTTCTCATAGGGAAATGAAGCACTTCAGATGTCTTGTTAATACCTGCTTTCCAGTGGATTTTTAAAGACACAACTGTCCATGTTTTGGGGAAGATTGCAACAGTGGAAACAATCCAGGAAATGATCTGCACTTCTTCCTACGGTAATGGCCTAAAGCAAAAATCTTGTTATTCTGGAACGGGGAAAAGCTCCTTCGTTTCGCTGGCATCCCCTTTGTCATTTATACTCTGTCATTTTCTGTCAAAACCCTAAGTTACAGACCTTGCTGCTAAGCTGAAATTAGCATCTAGGGAGCAATATGCAACAGAAATTTCATTTCTCYGTCTTATTTTGGTGTAACTGAAGAATTTGAAAACTGGAGATTTTCAAATGAAAATGACCAAAATCCCTGGCGGCAGCGGAGCRGGTGAAGGCAGCACAGCTGGTTGATGGAGGGGGTGGTGTGATCAGCACGGGGTACGTAAGGGATGTAAGGGGTTCGTGAGTGGTGTTGCTGGTGAGCCGGAGGTGACACTGGCTTCCAGGAAGATTGGATGTCAACCACAGTTTTGGAGCTCTGGCATCATCTCCTCTGCTATTGGTATGTTTTCAGAGGTGCTCCAGACTCGACTCTGATGTTGTGCTGGGAGGGTGAAAATACTTTAGGAGGGTGAAAATACTTTAGACATTATTGTAGAGGCTTTTCCTTCTCCTGCCTCGGCCCTGTGCAGGTCCTGCTTGCTGGCAGAAGCAGTGACAGTGATGAAGATGATGCTTGTGTTCCTGTAGGAAGAGCTGTCCCCCTTCCTTTCTCCTGCTGAGCGTCCCCCTTTCCTCCCTGTGAGCGTGAGGTGAGACAGCAGCGTGTAGAGATCTGAAGTGTCAGCTTATTCTTTTCACCCTTTCGAAACAAGTAATCTAGAAATGAAGCCAGCTGTGTCCCAGGGGAAAGCTTGGTGTTTAATTAGCCCCCAGCTTGGGGTTATGCACTCACTGTAGGGACTAATTTGCCACCTGGAAAGGAGCGCCCCCCCGCCGGAGGCAGCTGGGGGCCGGGAAGCGGTGGAGCAGGTGTCGGCGCTGCCGCCGGGCGGGATGTGCGCTGGGAAAGGGGCCACGCGGCTCCCGGCCTCCGCAGCGCTGCTCTGCGCCACCGCACAGGCACACGTTCACCGCGTGTYCCTGTCCCTGTCTGCTCCTCGCTGCCCTGCTCGTGCCAGCAGCCGGTCAGGGGAGCAGGCAGCAGGGGATCTGTGCGCTTTCCTAGCACCCCCTATCTCCAGTGGGCACCATCTAAAGGATTTGGGGCAATAATGACCTGAACTGTATTCCCAAAGCTGTTCAACAGCCTCCCTCCTCGCCCGTGACTCCAGCTTGACTCTGACAGTGTTGAGAGCTCGCCAATCCCCTGACAACTCAGAAAACCTGCTTTTTTTTTTTTCTTAGTAAGTCCTCCCCTCTTCTTCCAGACTGGAATTCCAGCCTTCTGGAGAGGCTTCTTGCTTTTTCCTTTACTGTCTCTGTTGCCACAGCAGATGAGATCAGAGCCCAGAGCTGCGTGCTGAGCAAGCCCTGCATGGTCAGTGGTAAAGTTTGGTGCTGAGGTTGTTCTAGCAGCCCTGGCTCTGATGGACACATCAGCCAAGATCTTCCAGGAAGAGGCTATTGGCTGAATTCAGTGCTTTTTCCACAGACACTACATGGTTCTGGTTTAAGTGTGCAGAGCTATAGCTGCCTCCCGGAGGGATCTGGGATGCTATCCACAGGCCCTGGTGCTTCTCAGGGCAGCATGCACAATATGTCCCTGTACTGACACAGGAGGATGTTTGGGGTCTGGGAGCTGGTATTGGGGCCCCCCTATCTGTGGAGCAGCCTGTGGTGACAGCAGTTCAGCACTTGCTCTGCAGAGAGTGAAGCAGCTTGCGAGGCCGCGGGCTGCGCGGTGCCAGCCGGGCTGGGGGCTTTGCTGCCACCCGAGGGGGTCCTTCTGCAGCACACGTTCAAGAAACCCCCTATCTTGGCTAAGTTTCTTATCACACTTCATCAAGTCCTGCTCCAGGGCTCATAATGCAGCATCTCCCCTCAACTCTTCCCCTCAGGCAACTCTCTAATCTCTTTGACATGCTCATTCTGTTTAGTGGCCTTTCTTTACAAATGTCTTTTGTGTTTTGATTCGCCTCCTTTGTGTGAGGATTCCTCCTCTTTCTTTCTGCTGTCCCGCTTGTGCTTGCTAGCTAGGTTCTGTATGTAATGCTATTAGACTGGGATAATCCATGCTTGGCTTATCTGTGCAACTGTCTCTGAAGATTAGTGAAAACCAGTGTTACGGGCTAGATAAACAGTGAACTGGTTCAGAAGGGCTCTTTCTTCTGTCAGTCTGGAAACGCTCAGGAAAATGATGGCAGATTTTCATTAGCCAGATTGGAGGGTAATGTCTTGTAACTTACTTGAGCTCAGTTGGGATAAAAATGCCCCAAGGATGGAGACCAACTCTAGTGCAGCAGTTTTTACTCAGTGCACTTCTACAGGACCTGAGAGAACTGAAATCAGCTTAGTGTGAATATGGCAAAGTGCCCGTGGAACATATGTGGTGCTGGTGTTTGCTAATGACCTGAGCTTCCCGAGTGTTTGACAGTGGAGGGTTGTTTGGGGCTGTTCTCCCAACTACACAGTTTGGATTCTCTTAGTTGAGGCTTTCCAGTAATTTGTSCAGCTAGTGATCCAGTTTGATGCCATCTGCAACAATGGTGCCAGAATGTGCTCCAGTGAGATCAACAGTCTTAATCTGAGTGTAAATGTACTGACTGTATGAACAAGTGAAACACAAAATCCTTGTCCGCACTGCTTTATTTCTTTAATATCTCTGCTTGCTCTCCTTGSATGCTGATTTCCTGGGGTGTTTGAGATCCTCGGGGAGAGGCCAGCAGAGGCTCTCAGGTGCTGCAGGTGGAGTGGCCCAGGCTCTGTACATGGCACCCTCTTTGCAGCAGCTGGGAGGACAGCACCCAAGTGTCTTTTTCTTGCCCTTACATTAGTGCTAGGCTGTTTGGTGGTGAGAGATGGGCTTCTTGCTGGCAGCTCTTTGGCTTTTGGTGGTTCCGTGAAGCCAATGGCTTAGGGAGCTGGTAGCGCTGGGGAGGGCGGCCTGCCTCGCAGGCTTGCTCTGGGGAAGGCGCCACAGACCCCTGCAGTGAGATCCCATTTCTAAATCTCTTTCGCAGGTGTGGAATGTGCTGTTAACATCAATGAGTGTGAGGAGGGTCCCTGCAAGAATGGAGCTGTCTGTGAGGATGGCATTGCTGACTATACCTGCCACTGTGCCCCTAGCCAGGATGGCATTATATGGGGAGGGAAGAACTGCTCTGTGAAGCTCACTGGGTGCCAGACGCATGACTGTCAAAATGAGGCCTTGTGCATCCCAACCTACCTAGCTGAGAGCCATGGCCACCTGTGCCAGTGCCAGCCTGGTTTCTATGATGCCACATGCTCAACACCAACAACGTTTTCCTTTGCTTCCAGAGGGTATCTCCTCATTGAGCTGCCCATGAACAATGAAAGCAGGAGGGACGTAGCAGGGGATCAGCTGGTCAGCGTGTCCCTCCGGTTCCGAACCACCTTGTCCAGCGTCATCCTTTTTTACCGAGGCCRTGAAGCTGAGTACTTGTTCCTGGAGCTCTTTGATGGTGTTCTGCATGCAGGACTGAAGACAGAGGATGTTGAGTACCTGTTAGTCCTGGAGGGGCTGCGAGTTGATGATGGCCGCTGGCACAAAGTGGAAGTTCTTCTGCAGCACTCTGTGCAGCTAAAGCTCTGGCATGACTCTTGTGATGCAGGTGTGTGCCTGCAGAGCGCTCCCGTCGGGAACAGCACCACGTTGATCCCCCCTGCCTTCCAGAACGCGTACGTTGGAGGTGCTCCCGATGCCATGGCCAGCAACACGCGGAGCCAGCAGGGCTTTGTGGGCTGCCTGCAGGACCTGCAGGCGGATGGGGAAGCTTTGCTCCCGCGGCATCTCCCTGCGGGCGAGTCGGCCCCGCTGGCCCTGGGCTGTGACAGGACCGAGTGGTGCCTCTCTCAGCCTTGCTCCCATGGAGGGCTCTGCGTGGACCTTTGGGCAACCTTCCGGTGTGACTGCTCGAGGCCGTATGGAGGCCCAACTTGCTCCTATGGTAAGTGCCAGCTGATGATGTACATCTGCCAGTGCTGCAGACGTCCTAGGTGAGTGTTACTGCTAGCTCTGGAAGCGCTGTTTTCTGCTCAACTGGAGAGAGAACTGAAGCAGAATCCTCGGTAAATAAAATGTTCATTGATCTCTTTTCTGTCACCAGCTCCTGTAGGAATGATTGTCAGTTTTGTGGTGCAGACATTATTCCTTGTTGAACCAGAGGCTCTGACCTCATCTTTGAATCTGATCTAAGTGATTACAGGAGGGCAGGGAAGTTGTTTCACTACAGAAAGCTGTTACTTGAGCTTCTGCCTAGAGGSTGAGAAGGAATGTGTTATAGATAAAATACAAACTGTTAAAGGATGCTCTCTGACAATTCTGAGATAAAATCATTTCCATTTGCATTCTTGTGTTCCTGCAAGGCTTCTGTTAATACTGTTGTTCCATTTTTTTCTTTCCTTTGTGCTAAACATAGCTAATAGAGAGTAGCTGTGCTGCTATGGGATTTACAAAATTTAAAAGGAATGTTATAGCTTAAGATTCCCCTTATAAATCTGCCAGGTGGCAAGGGTCCTGCTAGACCTGCTTCCTCACATCTGCTACTTGTGTGCTCTGAATTCCTGCCTTCCAGAGAGAGCAAGGACACATTCACCTGCTTCCTAATTTCCCAGGCCTTTGCAGGGAGAGAGCGTAATTGCTCTGAAATATGTTGGAAATGTTTGAAAGAAGGGTCATGCCCCATTCATAAAGGGTTGCAGCTCTGAATATCCCGGTGTCAGCTGCCTTCCCTTTGTTGCAGAACTGATTTGCCTTTCTTTTCTTTTCCAGAGCGCCCAGCAGCAACATTTGGCCTGGAGAATTCCACCAGCTTTGCCTCTTTTGCCCTTTCTGACAGCCTTGGTGCAAATTTCAACATCTCCTTTTTCATTCGTAGTCTGAAACCTAACGGTCTGCTATTGCAAATCAGCAATGAAACTGGCCCCTGCCTCACCATGTACTTGAAGAACAGCAAGCTGAAGATAGAGATGTCTGCAGATACTGTGACCTTTCCAAAAAACGTAGTTGATGGGAGAAGACATTTGGTAGCTCTGTCTTTCCAGGGTGGAGTTGTTCGTGCCCATCAGTCAGACACAGATGTGGAGCTAGGGCAGCTGGTAGCTGCACCTCTTCTGGCTGGCTATGAAGTGCATGTTGGGGGGCATCCTGACCCGCACAGCACTCACAGCTGGGGAGGATATTTTAAAGGCTGTTTGCAAGACGTGCAGCTGAACAACCTTGAAGTGCAGTTTTTTCAGGCTGAGAACTACAGTCTGCCACTGGAACTGAACAGAGCTGAAAACACCAGTCTTGTGAATGGCTGCATCTCTGATGACACCTGTAAGGTAGGAAATATTTCATTGCTCTCTAGGTTTTAAGGATTATAATTAGTGTAGCATGTTCTGATGCCAGCAAATGTCAAATACTTCAGTTAGATGAGCTTGAACCTGCAGAGATTTATGCCTTTTCTTTCTGTTTCTAACAATTTTGAATTGCCGTTTTGAATTGACTTTTCTCAATGCATGTAATTAGCCAGCAGTTGTGTGTAATTAATCAGCAATTACTTAAGTCTGAGAGAGTCTTCTTAGTATATAGATAGCCAGTATTTCCTTGCTCTTCCTTCTCACCCCTGCCATTTTTCCAAACCTGAAAGCTGCAGATTTCTCTAAAGACACAAATATGGGAAAACTGCTCTGTATTGACTCGGGCACCGTTTGCTTTGACTTGAGCACATGCAGACGGAATCCGAAAGCTTAGCCAGAGAAGAGCAGCATCAGGTAGATGCTTAACGTCAGAGGCTGCAGCAGCAAGGGCAGGCAAGGACATGGTTCCCTTTCCCCCAGGCAAGTGACTAAATACAAATCAGCAGCAGTGTAGTGCTGCCTCGTGATTTGACTCAACAAAACCACTTTCACAGGGAGCTTAAAAGACCAGCGTGTCCAGCACCGCGCTGATCATGTTTGTATGTGCCTGAATATGTGGATTTTGCACCAGGGTGAAGGTCAGCACGTTCAGACCGTTAGCTGTACAGGTGAGGTGCCCTCCGAAGCACGAGGGCCTTGCACATGTCCTGCCAGCTGCTCTTTTCCAGCCTTCTGGAGCTACACAGAGAGTTTCGGTAGATGAGCAGTGCACACAGGGGAAGGGGACCTCTCAAAAGCTCCTTATTTAGAGGCCTTTTTGCTTCCTCTGCTGCCTTTGAATTTCTATTGTAATCACACTTCTTTCTGATTCAAAAACTGCTTGTTTTACTCTCCTTTGTCACACTTCCTCTTACCAAATTCTCTTCGATCCAAAATGAAGTAGACTGCTCCTAAATTCACCTATCCTGTTTTTCAGTCTGAGCCGTGCCAGAATGGGGGCACATGCATCGTCACTTGGAATGATTTTCATTGCAACTGTCCTGCAAATTTCACTGGGAAAATTTGTGAAGAGAGAGTCTGGTGTGAAAGTGACCCGTGTCCTGAAGCCACGACCTGCACCGACGTTCCAGCGGGATAYGTGTGTAAGTGCTGTTCTCCTCCTAGCACTTACGTCCGAGCCAGGCAGTATTCCTGCTCACATGGTTGCAACACGTATCAATGTGTGTAAGGCCATGAATATCCAGGTGCATACTCTTGCAGGCAGCAGGCACTGTGGATTCACCACCAGTTTGGAATAGAGCAAGCATGGTACTTAAAGAGATTTTCTTCTGTTTGATTTGATCAGGGAAGAACCTATCCGTTTTCATGGGATAATTACCTGTCTTATTACCACTGCAATGCAAAGACCGTCCTGTTCTCCGCAATGTTCAGCCGCTTCTAGAGTCTCAGGTTATTTCAGCAAGCAGCACTTAAACAATTACATATTGTAAATATGTCTTAATTTTCACCTATGGCAGAACCCTAGGGAATGAAGAAAACTGGTTAGATAATGAGGACCTAATGTGGGGGGAATATTTTCTCCTGGATCACAGGATGCCAAGGTGTTCCCTGCTCTCCATGGGCCTTTTTACAGGCCTTGAATATGTTATTTTCCTGACTTATTGGTTTTCTTGACAAAAAATGGGGATAGCTGCATCTTTGTGCAGTGCCTTGAGACTGATAAATAAAAAAGGGCTACACATGAGTTGGATATTTCTGTTGGAGGTGCTAGTGTAAACAGGAGGAGCTTTGCCAGGGCCAGCAGCCAGGCCTTTAATCCTGCTCACACAAAGCTTGCATGATTCCCAAGGGAGGGAACCTGCCAGGAGTTTGCCATTGGTCTGACTCCGCAGGACACACGCTGTCTTTCAAATCCCTTATGCTCTTCCACTTTATTTATAGGTCTGGCTAATGCAACATTTAATAGCTATGCTGCCATTGAATTTACCACCAATGCGTCAGTGACGAGAACTCTGAGCAGCCTCCACCTGGATTTCAGAACGAGGGATGAAGATGCAGTTTTGCTGCGGGCCGAGGAAGAGGTGGATTCCCTCCAGATTGCCATCAGGAACTCGTCCCTGGCTGTCGATATCAGGAGTGGGAACAGCATCGAAGGGGTCAGCTTCCTGAGCCAGATACCGGTGACGGACGGTGCCTGGCACACCATCTCCATGGCCATGGAAGAGCCATCTGCRCTGTCCTCCAGATGGCTGGTTTGTCTGGATGGGTCTGTTAATGTGACTCTGCAGGGAAACGCTGGGAACTTGGACTTCTTAAAGAGCAGTGCGCCAATAGTTGTAGCCGAAAATTACACGGGCTGCCTCGGGCAAGTGAAGATAGGAGGCATCCACCTGCCGCTCGCCGCGCCGCTGCGGTACCCCCAGCCGGAGCAGTTCGTGGCGTCCCGCGGGGGCACCGTGCAGCTCGGCTGCGCCGGGGCCGACGTGTGCGCGGCCGGGCCCTGCCTCCACGCCGGCACCTGCGAGGACTTGTTCAATTCYTTCCGCTGCGTCTGCAGCGCCGGCTGGGGGGGGCTGCGCTGCGAGGCCAACATCGATGAGTGCCAGTCAAGCCCATGTGTCCACGGGGACTGTGTGGACGCAGTGGCCGATTTCCAGTGCGAATGTTTCCGGGGATACATTGGGAAGAAGTGTGACATCAACGTGGATGACTGTGTGCGGCACCAGTGCCTAAATGGAGCTACCTGCGTTGATGGGGTTTATGGCTATTCCTGCAAGTGCCTGCCGCAGTATTCAGGCCCTCGCTGCGAGTAGGTGCCTTGCTTGGTTTGAGGAAGGGGTTAGAGGATCTCCCAGATAGCTCAGATTTTCACCTGGGGACGATGGGAGTTTTTCTCCCTTGCTTTCAAAGCCCTTGGTCAGTAACAGTGTGTCCTAGTATTGATCCAGCTGCTGCATATACTAGTAGCAGCACAACCTGCTCTTAACATGCCGAAAGTGAAATCCTGAATGATTTCTGAGGCTTTTCTCTTCTCGGGTTGTGTTGTGCTCCTCCGTAGAGGTAGCCATGACTGTGCTCGTAAATCCTGCCACCCCAGTCACCGCTGAATCACAGCAGACTTTGGAAATGATTGCCACTTCTATTGCAAAAGAGCTTTAAAGGTTGTCTCTTGTTTTTCCCAGATGGCCGTTCCCACCTCAGCAATGTGGTAAAAACTTCACCTGTCTGAATGGTGGCAAATGCATCAGTGAGACCTGGGGAGCCAACTGCAGTTGCAAGCCAGGTTTCACTGGAAGGAAGTAAGTGCCTTTTTCCTGCTGCGGGCAAAGGGACTAGTGCTARGCTTTTGGCATTAGTGGGATAACTGGAGAAGCTCAGATTGTTCATCCTGTTGGAGAGCCTTTTGCCATTTAAATGACTACTCGAAAATTGCAAATTAAATGTTGTTCTTAGAAGAGGTAGGTTTGATAATGATACTGCTGGCATTGCTGATTTTCATAGCTAGACTGTTTCTAAGTATTTTGTACCTTTAAACATCTCTTCTTTATGACTCGGAGTTAAATAGCTAGAAAATGGTGGGATCAGTTCAGGAGGAGCAGTGGTACTGACAGCTGCGTAGAGACAGCACAGCTTGAAACTAACACTAGGATCTGGTGAACGATTAAAACCAGACTCATCATTTTGCAACTGCAAAAGTGTGTTTACTTTTATCCATTTTCTGATTCTAATTTCTTAACAGCCTTATGCCTCATGAGAATTCCTTAACTGGGTTAGTGAGCCATGCTGGCTTCTATCATTTAGAAATGACAAGTGGATTTTTGAGTGGTTAAAAGTTTCATGTTGTTTGACCCTGGAGAAAGCTCCTGAAAAAGAAGCAAAGGAAACTTTTAAAATAAATGAGGCCTTTGTAGACTATATGATCCATGCAAACACAAGAATCAGGTGTGAGAAATTTTATTTAATTCTAATACTCTTTTCCTTTCCAGTTGTCAAATTAACATAAATGAGTGTGATCCAAACCCTTGCCAGAATGGAGGTACGTGTCAAGACTCTGTGAACAAGTACGAGTGCGTGTGCAGTGCCAGCTACACAGGAGACCGCTGTGACGTTAACGTAAGCACCTCCTTCCCTTTGCTCTTGCAAGTTCCTGTCTGTTCTTCCGAACGGTGATTCAGAAATAGCTTTAGAAGAAGCCCTTGGTACGAGGATGCTAGAGAAACTGCCTCCCTATTGCATAGTCACCTGTGTGTTTTGAAGTAAAGTGCACCAGGACGCACAGGTAGGAAATCAGGTGGTACCAAGGGAAGACAAAATATGAAACTTTCTCTTTGGGCAGTGCTGATGCATGTTAGTCTCCAGCATAGAAATAATTGTGTCCGTTACTTTTATAACATGTGTCTGACATGAGCTGCCATGTGGGTTTCAGGGCTCTATATTAATATTAAATTATACTGCAGAAAGTAGATATGAGTAGTATCACTCTTATGCTCATAKAGAAAAGGAAAACCAGGATTCTAATTACATCTTTTTCAAAACAAGAACAATGACGACAGAACAGATTGTATCCAAAATCCCAAAGGATTGTATGGCCATACATGTGAGTGTTAAGGCTGTTTTCACTTTCACAGTACAAATAAGGGGATAAGAATAGGCAAAAATACAAGGAATAGGGAACCAAATTGAATTATAACTTCTCTTACCTCTATTAAATATGAAATGACTGGGTAATATAAAACACAAATTCCAGAAGGCCAGTTTAGTTCTTGTGCTACTGGACCAGAGGATGTGACAGAGGTATGAAACACAGAGGACAAGGAGGTAATTAGTAACAAAGTGTCTCAAAAGTGAGACTTACACTGGTGAAAGGGATCAAAACTTTAYTTCTTTTCCTCTCTGCCTCCTTCATCACCTTGCGCTGCCACCCACAGTTTAGGGAGAATACAAGTTTAGCTGGTACTTTATCTTGGATAATTTAAAGTAGCAAATACAATTTAAATACAAGTAAAAACCAGTGTGCTTCTACCCACTGAGTGTGATTTTCTGGCCAGTGGGTAGACAGGCTTTCTGCTTTTCCTTTTCTTCATGAGCAAAGTGCTGATATTTGGGATCCTTCCTCTGTGGCGGCCGTTAGAGCACACCCTGCTTCTTTCTCTGTAAAGCCACTGCATGCACAGGTAGCTTGTGTGGTAACCTGGGAATGCACTAACCCCTTCTGCATGGAAAGTGCTGTGCACCAAGGTGGAGCTGGCTGCTGTTGCTGTTACTAAGGGTAATAGAATTGTGGAATGCATGTGCCACAAGGTGACTCCAGACATGGCCAGTTTGCATGCATGTACTCCATCAGGTACAGCGCTCTCTTCTGTCCTGAATTCTTGTAGACTCCCTGTATTCATGCTCATCCTCCCTATCACTTGTTGCAGAACTGTCTTTCCTTGAAAAATGGCAGCACAGAGTCTGGAAAACTGCTGTGTTTGCTCTTCGTGACAGGCGTAGAAAGGGAAGTGCCTTAGCTGCAGGCTCTCTGTTCTGTGCAGCAGCAGGGCAGCCACCTGGAACCTGCTCTGGCTTYGGTGCTGTGCGACTAACCTGCATGCTCTGCAAAGCTAGAACTAACCCCAGCATGTGGCTTCAATTTCAGAGCTGGGCAAGGAGAAGGTTAATGCAATCGATACGAAATTCAGTCGTTTGAGGATGGTAGGGCTTCCAAAAACGCTGTTCTCTCAGCAATATTCTTGCTGTTGGAGAGCCTCCTTTTTCTTCGGCAGTGTTTCCTGTCCTGCGCTGCTTTGCAAGAGTGCCCAGAGTATACAGAGCTTAGCATCTAGTTGCTTAAAATAATCAAATTTGATTTCTTTTGCTTTTCATTTGTAAGATGGCAGATACTATTTTTGACAATAAGCAAGATTTCTTAAGCTTAGCAGGTCATTCGAAAGCTGCATTTGAAATTCCACAACGTTTTTATTCTTTATTACTGCATCCTTACCACCATCCTTAATCCCAAAGGGGCAAAACAATAATCATATGGCTGCACTTCTTCAGTCCTCAGGCTTTCTCTTTGGCATTGCCCATCAATACATGACTCTCTTTAACATTCTCTCCTCCCTGCTACAGGGTGTCTTAATGTCAATAGCAAGTAAGAGTCCTACAGAGCAGACTTAAAGAGTGTGAGCCTTGGCAACCTACAATTTCAAAATCAGTGATTTCATACATAACATTCACTACTTAAATTATTTTATCCTGGTATTTCATAAAGTTCCTGTAAGGTTTTTATGCCAGTTCTAGRTTTCACAGTCTTCTGCCCTTGAGATATGTTAAAATTAAGCCTGAAAACATCTGGCGTTAGTGAGATTTCTTTTCTGGTGATAATTTACAACTTGATATTTCAATATGTCTTAAGACAAGATTGCCACCTCAGCTGCTGATTGCACTGACATTTGAATCTTAAGGGCCTTCCTGCTGTGAAAAGCTTTATGAAGGGAGGAAAATACAGCGTGTGAGATGTCTTTTGAACTGTTTTACTTCATCCAGCATGTCCAAAGCGTTGATCAGRCTCTTAACTACTGCTCTTTCTAATTGTAACAAACAGCTGTATAGTTTGGTTTAGCAAGTGATATGCAAAAGCCTCCTTCTTCATAGCAATTGTCTAGCCTCAGGTTAGTCCCATAAAATGTCTGTATTTAGGTTTGCTGTGTCTCTGCCAGTTAGCTAATAAGCTCAATAAATYTTCTCTCTTCTTCCTCACGATAATTCTGTCCTTGTGCCCTGCATGAACTATTGTAATGTCATTAACCCTCCGATCAGTAAAGCTCTGTATCTAACTGTCCTGTTGAGATTAACTAGCAGCTTTGGCAGAGCTGAAGAATGTCCCTGATGTCACTAGCTTTTAATTACAAAGAAAAATTGAGAACTTCTTATTGGCTGTCCTTTGCATTAAAAAATAGTCTATCAAAAAAAAAAAAAAAAAAAAACCCACAGTTTGCTTAGAGATTAAAGAACTAATGTTCTCTATGCAGGTGCCCTCAAGCCTTCTATTGATTCCTTGCTGCTCCTTTGCCATTCGGGTGCAGCTCATCTGCTCACCTTTCCCTTCTTGGTTTCTTCTCCTCTCTCTCGTCTCCAGTCTGCCCACTCGGGCCTCTCCAGCYGAAGGCCTGGGAACTGCTGGGGTTTCATTGTGTCTCTGTTAATTTCTTTTACAGAAAGGGACTCCGGGTGCTTTCTTCCCCTCCCCACTAATTGAAGTAGCTGTCCCTGTAGCCTGTGGCTCTTTACTGCTGCTCGGTATCGGGCTCATATTCCTGATTCTCACGGCAAGGAAGCGGCGCCAGTCAGAGGGAACCTACAGCCCAAGTCAGCAAGAAGTGGCAGGCGCTCGGTTGGAGATGGACAGTGTTCTAAAGGTGCCACCCGAAGAGCGGTTAATATAGGCACTGCCATGGCAAGGAGCTGCACCTGCAAGGGCTGCCTGGCCTGTCTTGCAGCAGCAGCTCTCCTCTCTCACTTTGCTTGGCGTTGAAGACATAGACTGGAAGTGCGTGGCAGACTGTGCAGCCTGGGGTGGCCCAGCTGGTTACAGCTCTGGCTCAACACGAGCCCTCCCGGTGTCGCACAGGGGGCTCCAGCTTCGATGCTCCTCTGGCTCCAGGCTGCTCGTGCTGCTTTAAAAGGCAGAGTTACGTTAGGCACTGATGTGCAGATGAAGATGTATACTTTTGAGGCGAGATGTACAGAGGCTATTTGTGTTTGGTTGTATATACTGKTTTAGGTTCTTTTTTTTTTGTCCCCCAACAACTCAAATCTCTGCCAAGCTTTCTCAGCGCAGGAGAATGCCGTTTTCAAGGCTGGTCTCACAGAGCAGTCCTCAACAGCAACAGCAGCTGGAACTCCTGCCTCGTGGTAGCCAGTGCCCCAGGAGCGGCTGCACGGAGCGATGTTTCCTGGGCTCTCCTTAGACATTCCCACGGTACCGCACAGCGCAYGTGCCGGCACAATGTGCGGCTTTGTGGGCAGGGGCTGGAGAGCTCCCTCGCCCAAAACTGACCTTAGCAGGAGGGGCTGAACGGGCCAGGAGCCCCAGGGCCTCTGCAGCCCTGGCGGCCGGTGGGGCTGGGCACAGCAGGGTGCTGGGGCGGGGGGGGCCCCGCGCCGCCCTCAGTAACACCCTGTTCTACCGCAGCAGCCGCTCTGGGCTCATCTTAGCAGCTCCTCCGTGGTGGGAGCAGTCGGGGCCGCAGGGACTGCCCTGCTCCTCGCAGCCGTCGCAGTCCTGGTGCTTGCCATGAAGAGACGCAGAGCAACTCAGGGAACGTACAGCCCGAGCCGGCAGGAGAAGGAGGGCGCGCGCGTGGAGATGTGGAACGTTATCAAGATGCCACCGACGGAGCGGCTGATCTAGGAGCCGGCAGAGCTGCAGGGGTCCCCGAGCAGCGCTGGCCCGGCCTGCGCTCTGCTTTAGGCTAGCGCTGCTTTAAGCTGCTTCCTAGGCCGCAGGCAGCAACACTCACTGCTGGAACACGCGTGTTTGGGTGTGTTAGTGCAGCGCTGCTCTTGAGACTTGGATAAAATCAGTCTGCCAGCAAAAGCAATAAAAAAGCGGGGAGGGGTGGYGGGGTGTTGTGCTGTTTGGAGGAGGCCAGGAAGGAAGACGTCGCACCTGTGGCTGCGAGGAGCAAATACCCATCCCCGAGGGGCACCGGCAGGAGACACGGTAGGCGCAGCTGGGCAAYGTCCTCCTTTACCCACGGTGTGCCCCTTAGTCCTTCGAGGGCTGGTGYCTGCAGTGCCTGCCTCCGCCTTGCAGCTGCACAGGAGCAAGGCCCAGGTAGGTCAGGCAGGGGGGGCCTCATCGCAGCGCCCGGCCCCCACGCACCGCTCGCCTCCCAGGAGCTGGGGCAGAGCTCACACCGCGTCTGCAGCAAATGCACTGTGCTAGTATTAGACACTGCTAAAGCTTTCCCTAAGGCTAAACCACAAGATATTAAGTGCCTTTCTGAGACTGAATTACCAGGTCCAGTATTAGCTTCTTGAATGGAGGCTGTTTATGCAAGGCGGCCTCGTGGGCGGCGGGAGCGGCAGTGCGTCGCCCCCGCGCTGCTCTGCCCACGAGGAGCAGCCCCGCCACGAGGCTGCGGGGCCAAGCAGCGGCTGATTTTCCTTGTTTCGCTAGAACGGTGGTGTCGTGGGGGCCACTTCTCCTCCTGTCTGGGAGTGCAGCTGTTGAGGGTGATGATTCTTTAGCAGTGTGGAGAGACGGGGAAGGACTGTGAATGGGCAGCCCCACTAAGGCCCGAAATTATTAAATACTATTTCATGCTAATTACAGTGAGAAATATTTTAGAATAAGTGTCTGCTTTTCTCTCCACAGTACTGTTAATCAAGAAGGTGTGAAACTGCACACCAGAGCTCATGGCCACTGGCAATTTTTCTTCAAAAAAGCCTATACTGTTTGGCTTTTACAAAAATGTMTGTCTAGTTTAGGTATTATTTTCATATTTCTGAGACTCTAAGCAAAGGGCCTAGTTAAGTTGGTCTCTCTCTGCTTACTAGAACATCTTCTGCTTTTATACAGCTGTTGATGTAAGCTCGAGAATGAACATTTTGGAAAACAGAASAAAAATTAGGTAGTAAGGCAACTAACACTTTTTGTGTCGTATTAGTGGCCTCTGTAATACACAATGGACCCGGTCTGGACACAGTACTGAAGAAAGCAGTGCCCTAATTTCAGTTAGGTGAGGTTGCTTTTATTTATTAGTAATAATACTGGTGCTTATTACTTGCATTTAGCTTGGAAAGGGCCCGTGACCCGGGCACCTTCACAGGGCCCGTCCGTGCGCCCGGGCCCTCCCGCCTGCAGCCTSAGGCAGGGGCGTGCGAGGCAGCGGGTGGAGGCTGGGAGCAGAGCCCGTGCCCCAGCCAGCGCCCGGCGCTGCCGGGGAGGCTGTGCTCTCACCTTTCGGCTCCACTCCCGCCTAGGGCTAAGCTGTAGAAAAATGAAGGCAGCAACAGCCTCTAAATGAACCAGTATTATTCCAACCTGTGTTATTCTAAGAAAAATGTGTTAGAGGAACTGGCTCTTACTGAGCTGCTGAAATCTTCCGAAGAGCGAGAAGGGGCAGCGACAAACAGCAGGTAGAGACCCCCGGCCAGGAGCCCGAGCCGAGGGCAGCGGCGGCTCCGGCTGCCCTGGGGGAGGCTGCAGCTCGGCCGCTCCAAGGGACKAGCGGAGCAGATGAGGCTGTGAGCACCCAAAGCCAACACCAGCAAAAGTGTGAAAATCTGTTGTCAGTGTCTTGAGCATTTCTGCAATATAATTTATGAAAGTTGTTTTTCAATAATGGAGTTAACTTTGTTTTGATATTTAATTTTTGAATATATTTTTTCACAAAACTGAATTTGCTGTAGATAATGATCATGATCCTGATGTTTTTGTAATTGTAAATTTTATAACTTGTAAAAATTAGAATGGTCCTCAAAATATTACAATAAAAAAGTTTAAAATATACCTACTCACCTTGACTTGTGACTGGTTGTTTTTGCTAAATATTGATGTTGGGGATGGCAGGATTTCCCCTTTACTGCACACAGGCTTACATAGCACCTCAATGCTACCTTTGCACTTACAATTTTATTAAACCTCTGATATTTTTATCACACATAACAGTCACTGTGACTGTGACTTTCAAAGCGCCAAGTTTCTAAAGACCCTTCATTGTGTAAACAGACCCCACGGGTGTCTCCCCCACGAGGGSTCCCGGGACCCCTCCCCAGCTGGGCAGTCGCTGCCTCAGGGGGCACCCACCGGCTGCGCCACCCCCGGGCTGCAGGTTGTTGTCACCCAGGGAATCTCACTGGGAAAACGCCCCAGGTTTTGGGCAGTAATTAAGCAAGCTTTCCCTGGTCAATTTATACACCTAAGTGCGACATGAGCTCTGCCTAGACAGTGCCCTCTCGCCAGTTTTATGCTTCCAATAAATGGAGAGATTTACATAAAATAGTTACTCTGCAAAGCTCTGTAACTCAATTCAAGCAATTAAAAACTACCAAAAAATTAAAAATAAAAAAATAAAAAAAAAAAAAAAAAAGGAAACAAGCTCCCTTTTGTTTATGATGCCCCTGCCTCCATCCATGCAAACTAACGGGTGCTGGGCTGCCCGGAGGGCAAAGGAAAGTAAAGAGTTCTAAAGGTGGGTGCTGAAAGCAGCAGCAGCCAACGGCCTTCTTGTTCAATACTAACCAATTTAATCTGCTGATGCTGGAACAGTCCCTTTGATCATGAAGCCTGTATGGTAAATGTACAAGGAGCAAAAGGCATTAACAACAACCTACACGTAGCCTAGCATCAAACAGCCTCCAGCCCTCCAAGTAGCCCACGCGACAACGGGACGCGGCTTAGGGAGCGCTCGGCTGTCACCTCCACGCTCTTTGACGGCAGGACACGAAACATTTATTTAACAAGAGGCAGTTACCGTGCAGACATCTTTCCTCGAGGTGTCACTGAATCAGTGGTATGTCAGGGCTGGTTAAAGGGATATTAATTTCCCCTAAAAATGTCAGTCATTTGTTACTGACAGACTTTAACCATCTTCCAAAGAGAGAGAAAACAGGGCAGATGTCAGCCTCCTGCATTTTTTTTTAATACACACAAAAAAAGAAAGCAAAGAAATATAAGCAGCTCTGTCCATCCACCGCACGCTGGGAAAAAATCCCTGCTATGTATAGCRAAATCACAGACATCTGATGATTAATGCTGGGATATAAGGCACTGAGAGAAAGGAGCTCAGCAACAAATTCTCACGTGTCTCAGAAGCAAAAAACCTGGAAAATAATGTGCAGTAACTGCTGGTGGAGCTGGTTTGTACAAGCAAACAAGTGGGTGAGGACAAGAAAGTACCTCATGTTAAAGGCCGGTGAATAATACCTGGCAAAAAAAAAAAATCAGCAGATCCTTCCTCATCCTTGTTTAGTGAAAAAAACAGAACTACACTTARCGTCTCGCAGGGGGGCCTGCCCTGCCAGGACGTTGACATCTGACACTTAGGACGGACTCAGGCCAGGACTCCCAGTTTAAATAAGACAGAACCGGGGCGGCCGGGGGCAGTTTTGGTCCTTTACTAGGAGCCGGCGGCTCCGTCCCGCACGTCCCTGCCCACCCGCTCGTGCTCCTCTGAGTGTTGGTGATTTCGGGGCCTCGCGCCCGACCTAGGAACAATACAAACCAAGCCAAGCCCAGCGCCCTTGGCCTAAGAGAGSCGCCTGCACCAAGGGCCCTCTTGGCAGTGCACGGTGCAACCGGGGCAGTGGAAAACAACCAGAGATGGAAAATGATTTGCACTGATACAGACAGACCTGAGCATTTTCCTATTTAATTGAGTATGTATAATAGGATACTCGGTATATAGTTAACAAACAACTTTTTAAAAAATAAAAAAAGAGAGATATGTGAAACCAAATGCCAAGTCGTACGCAGAGCTTCCGAGGGCTTATACAGACCCACCATCACTGGGGAAGTTTTATGATCTGGCTCATAGCAGAGGAGAACTGAAATTCCAGCCTGGCTCCAGTGCTTCTCCGTAACAGCAACAGTCTCAACATTGGATTAAACTTGAGATGTTTTACTATGCAAATGCAAACCCAGCCGCCTACCAACACAAAAAGAAATACAAATCCACCTGTGTGGCTTGTGAAAGCAAYAGTACTTACAGAAATAGAGATATATGAATACAATACTGATGTCTTTCCCAAACTGTTGGCATTGCAGATATTATTTTTCTTTTGTATTGCACAGACTCAAACGCATAGACAGCCATTTTCATATATTAGAGTAAGAAAATCTCCAAGGTTATATGAATAAAATAGATACATTGGAAATAATTCAGATAAAGCTTTACAAGAATCTCCCATGTGTCCAAAATGATTTCTTTTACTTTATCAAAGGCTTAATGGTGATGTGATTGACCTCTCCTAGAGGAACGTGTTTTAAATCAGATTGTGCCAAATACAAAACAACAGCAACAAAAAAAAAAAAAAAAAAAAAAGCACCACTTAAGTAACACAAAAATGATCACTGTAAAGACAGGTTTTAAAAGAGATGCTAAGATTAAGCTAAAACTACTTAAGAACGCTACTGCTTCAGAAAGTGCCTAGAAAAACCAGCCTGAAGGGCCCCTTCGGGCAGCCCCACATTCCACCCTTCCCGGTGCCTGGTCCAGGCCGGGCTCCCGCTTTCAGGAAGGGCTTTTCCCGGGGCTCGCGGGCAGCACGACCACGGGGCGCAGGGCGCTTCGCTACCCCCATTCCCCTCTCTTTGTTTTGATAGGCAAATAAGATAGTTACAGCCCATTCATGTACTGCCAGCTATAACATTTATAGATATAATGCTAACGTACACTTGCATAAGGAGTAGGATACACTTTATGAATGCCATTTTGTCCTTAAGGGGAAAAAAAAAAAAAAAAAAAAAAAAAAAAAAGAAGAAACAAAAGCAAGCAAACCCAGAAGCGGGTGCTGCGGTTGCTGGTGTTTCCAGTTTCCCCAGAGCCCCAGGCTCTGCCTGGCTGCCCCTGCGCCAAGGGCTCCCCACGACCTCCGGGGCTGCTCTATCGGGGAAAGAAATTAAAATTCCACTACAAGAGCTCATCCAACGGCACGAGTCAAATGGCTGCCTCTATTCCAAGGTGGGGGGGGCTGAACTCAACTTAAACCTCGTGGGTTAACCCGGCAGAGCCCCCGGGCCAGGCTCTGCTCCCAGCACCCAACGCGTGACCCCCCAAACCCTGTCGGTCCCGCGGCTAAGGCCGGACTAACCGAACCGGGTGCCGCCCGCGTGGGCGGGAAGCCCCCGTGCACCGGGACCCATCTGTGCTCCAGGCTGCGCTGAGCACTGAAAACACACGCACCGCTGCGGCAGCAGAACTGGCTGAAACCCCGAGGTGCAAAAACCCCCTCGTGCTTTGGTCAGTGCAGGAGGCACCGGAGTGGTCAGTGGCGGAGAGTGAGGAGCAAGAAATCAGCCACAGGGACCAGGCGGCACAGGGGCTCCCAACAAAAAACTCTGGACAAAAAGCGCTGGGAATCGTGGCCCGGCAGCTGTCCTGGCTAAGCTTTCCATAAAAACACACCTGGTTTTATGCTGGAGCAAAACACAAAATAAAACAAAAACCCTGTCGATTCCCAAGGCACGACAAAAGGCCATTGGGAGTCTTACTCAAAGGTTTCCCATCGCTTTCTGAGCTGTTCAACCTTACCTGGTGTGGATGACACCTCCTGCTTTGTCTTTTTTAACAACTCTTCAAATGGATCTCTTGTCTCCTCAGATTTGGAGGGTTTTAACACTGACTCTAAGCCCTTAGCTGGCCTGGAAGGGATCAAAGGAGGTTCATTAGAGAGGAGAGCTACCGCTTGCTTGGTATCTACCTTTGAACTYGACTGTCCCACTGGCAACGTTCTGGTTTGGGCAGGGCCACTTAGACACGTTGGCTGGAGAGAGCTCGTTGGAGAAAGGCTGTGGCTCTGCAGCAACAAGGAGCTGGCTGGTGGCACAGCCGGAGCTTGGCTGAACAGGTTGGGCATGGACAGAGTTGAAATATTTGGCTGAGGTCTCTGTGGTTGGTAGAAACCAGAATTAGGGGCTATAAAGCTTGCGCTATAGGCGTGACCCAGGGAGGGGGCGAACGAGCCCCGGGGGGGTCTCACTAGGGACGCCGAGAGGGCTCCCGGCACCGTCTGTGTAAAGGGGTTCGGGGCCGGGCGCAGCACGGGGGGTGCCGGGGAGGGGAAGCCGAGCGGCTGGGTGAACGGGGCAGCTGCAGGAGGCACCAAGTCAGCGGGCACCGTGGCGAAGCCTCCCGCCACCGAGCTCTGCAGGCCGGGTGGCCCCTGCGGGCTCGTGCTTTGCCAGCTGCCTGTTTTTAGCGGATCCAGCAGGCTAAGAAGGTAGTCGCTCTCATGGCCTGCATTATCTGCCTTCACCTTGACAGGCTGGAGCATCTCAGCAGCGCTGGGAGCACGGGACAGCAGCTGCGATGGATGAGAGGAGTAACTTACAGGCTGCTGGATTTCAGGGTCCCGGGACACACTAGCAAGTCCAAAGGGCTCTGGGATAAGATCTGGGACCAAAGGGCTGCGGCCTGCAGTGTGCGTGAGAATTTCTGTGGCCGCTGCCGCCTGATGCTTGGAAGCCCGGGGCGCTGGTGGCGGTGGGACTATCCCCAGCTCAGGAGTCTTCCTCCCCTGCGGCCGTGGGATCGTGATGTTCCCTTGCGGAGCGGGGCTCGAGTCGTCCCTGTCGGCGGGGGCCAGCGCCGTGTCCCTGCTGCGCAGCCTCCGGGTGCTGGGTGCCGCGTTCCCCAGCGCCGCCAGGGGCCTTTCTGGCGAGCCTTGGGAATACTTGGTGGGAATGGCCATGTCGTCATGACCCATGCTCCATAGTTTGTTGTAGGGGTGGGACAGCTTCATGCTTGGCACAATCCTGTTCCTCTCAGACACGCCTAGGTCCATCCTCTGCAAAAAAGCGTAACCGTGTTAGTGCGACTCATGTCCCAGCACAGACTGGTGAAGAGGGGCCCTGCACTGCGGGCGCAGCAGGATGTGTCCGAAGGGCCCACAGGAAGCTGCAGCTCCCAGCTCATCCTCCAAGGGCTCTCTGAGCTGTGACATCCTCTGGCCCCTGGTAGGAGCCACCTTAGGAGCTCAGCTCTGTAGCTAAGGTTTAGGAGATTAAAAACCTTAATTGCTATATGGAAAATGCYGCCAAGAAAAATATCTGGCTATAACATATTAAATATTACTAGAGAGTTGATGTGATCTCCTTTTCTCTCATACCCCATGAAGATATCAGAGACTGCTTTAGAGCTGCACTTTCTAAGCATCACATAATYAGTTAAGTTCTCTTTAAAAGAAAACTTGTGTTTTATGAAGTTCATTGTCCCCCTGATGCCAGGGCCAGACATGACCCAAAGTCAAAATAATGACCATAAGCTCATTTAAACAAGGACACGCAATGTGGAAGGGTCCCGAGGGAATGAAAAAGAACCTGAACGCATGAACAAAGTACTGGAAAATGGATGCAACCACCCAATGATAAGAAAAGGCTTCCTAAAGGATAAAGGAGGGCGAGAGCGCGGGCGCCCGCAGAGCGCAGCGAGGCCTCTCCCACCTGGTAGTCGAACGTGCACCGCTCGTCTCCCTCTTCCTTGGGGGTCCGCAGGTCCTCCAGGCTCTTGGCTTGGCTGAGAGGCTGCGGCTGCGTCTCCATGTCCAAGCCGGGGAAAATGTCCTCGAGCAGGCTGACGCCGGCGGCCCTGGGCGCGGGTAGCGGGCTTGGCCCCCGGGCCTCCCGGCCCCTCTCCGGGCTGGCGGCCTCTTCACCATCGRCGCTGTCCGACTCCTTGAGGGCCCGGTAGGGCTGCGGCCTGGGGGCAGGAAAACAAACGTCATGGGACCCGCGAGAGCCTCCCTAGGCTCTTTTAAAGCACGTGTCTAGGGAGGTGCTCGATGCCTTCCAGACAGTCCGTGGGGTGGCAGGACAGAGCTCACGGGGCCCCGCAACCCACTGGCACATGAGCCAAGCTGCAGGGGCAGCAGGACGTGCAGGGACACATGGGCATGGGGGGATTTGCAGGAAGAGCCATGCTGGGAGGAGAACGGGCGCCAGCACAGCCCCTCCCTGCCCTGCGGGCTCACCGCRTGCCCGGAGCCGGCACGGACGCGAAGCTGAGCGCCCTCCTGCAATTATTGGGAATGCTGTGCAGGGGTCCAGCGATTAGATCGGTGTCACCTTATCAAGAAACAACACAATCCATTATGGAGACACCTATTTTACATTTCCAGCCAGGACCTAGTTAGCAGGCTGCCTTTCCGCCGTGCACCTCAGTGCAACGCGCGGATTTGCATCGCGCCGCGTACGGAGCGCGGCAGCACAACCTGCCGCCAATTAGTCCGGGAAGCGCCATGCTCCCTGCCGGGATTGGCACTTGACTGGCAGGCAGGTCTACCACGGCATTTAAACATGGTTTTCAATTTAAAAACTGTATTTGTAGAGACCCCCAAAAGAGAGATAACATGGAAGAATCCTCCTCTTTCCATGTTGTGCTATAATACATTTGTGCAATGCAAATTTGTAAGCAGAGCCCAGGGTGCGTCACAGGTTGCGGCAAAGGGCAGAGCGGGGGGCACGCGGCCCACACCGAGGGCAGGGATCCCTCCTGCCCCAGGAACGGGGGTCCCTCCTGCCCTTTGCTCCCTGCAGGCCCCCAAGCCCGTCCCCAGCGGCAGGGGACGGGGGGACTGGCCRGGACCCTCCACATCGCCCCTCCCCGGCGCCTGGAGGAGTCCGGGGAACACGCAGGGTGGCTTGAGCCCYTGCCCCAGGGTTGGTGCTGGCAGCCACTCGCACAGGGACCTCGTGGGCACCACTCGGCAGCCCAGTCCCAGCGCCAGCAATGTTAACTGCGGGAGCACGTYGGAAATGCCAAGCAATGGAGCAGGCCAAGCCGCTGCACAAGGCCCAGACTAGCACAAAGAAAGGAAACAGGAGAGACCATTCGAAAGGAGCAGAGAAGAAAAAGTTTTCAGAGAAGCCACAGACAGAATCCTCTTCCTGCCGAAATTCATCATCAGAAGAGTCCTCAGAGAGGAAGACCGTATAGTGTCGCATGGGCTTTACCAGGCTGAAGGAGACAGGGAGAGAAAAGCAGGTTACCAATGTGACACCAAAGCGGCAGGAGTGACCCGGCTCCGCACCCGCACGCCCGGCCCGCGTCCCGAGGGCTGGGATGGACGGGGGGTTCCGCCACCCAGGCGCGAGTGGCAGCGGGGACACCAGCCTGCGGGTGGCAGCGCACGGAGCACCGAGCACCACAGCAGGACACAGGTGCTGCAGAGCCAGGACGAGGAGGCAGAAGGGACCAGAAGGGCCTGCAGGGAAGGCCAAGACCCCGCGTGGCCACYGCAAACACGCGGCAGCCCCGGGGAAGCCAAAGCAGCCCCCCAGCCCCGTTGGGCGCCGCTGCTCCCCACGGCGGGGACACGAGCGCCGAGGGGAGCGCAGCGCTGGCACCCACCGCGGGGCCGCGAGCGGGGCCGCCCTCGCGCCCTGCACAGCCAAGCCCCTCGCCGAGCCCTGCCCGCCGCCGAGCTGAGCACGTCTGCGGGTCGCAGCAGCCCGTGACAGCCCTGACAGCCGCGGCTGTTCCTTTTTAAACACCGTGTCAGCAACACGGCGCAATAGAGCCGGGGATGCGCTCGGCGGCTCCGCGCGCCGCCGCCACAGCTCCCGCTCCCTTTTTAATGAGCAAGATCTGCATCTCGGGAGCTTTTTTCATGTGTCAGGATGCATGGACAAATCAGCAGCACATCACGCTGGCCAAAAATGAAATGCTGACAAATGTAGATATTTCAAATTTAATTGACACCTAAATGTGCTTGAGAAAAAAAGCAGATCCAGAAAATATGAGCATAGGATTTGAGCATTAATAAGGAGATTTCTGTAATAATTTTTGAATTTGTGTATTTTATTAACCACTCTGCTTTTTCCTGATTGCAGAGATTACGGTCCAAAGGGGTTGGGTGGAGCGTGAACTTGTTTTCATTAGTCAACTAGAAAGGGCTTCCCACATTTGAGAGAAGATTCTGAGATTTGGGTTTAATTTGGATTTATTCTTATCTTAAAAAAAAAAAAAAAAAAGCTACACAATCAACCTTGGAACCTGGAATATTTGTCCCTCTTACGACAATGAAGAGAATGGGGCACCTGGATGCACCACCTTTCTCTGCCAACACGGCCCACGAGACCTGGCACCACGCGCACGGGGAGCAGAACCCAGCCCTGCACATCGCGACTGCTCGGGACACCTAAGCGCRAGCTAAGGAAATACCAAAATATTTCCTTGATTTTTAAAGCATCACTTTGCATTCTGTGACATTGTGCACACTGCCACCACTTGAATAAAACCCAAAATATTTGCATTCCCTCCCCGCAGCCACCGCTTCGTGGGACCATCCGTGGGGCCGGCGGCAGAGCCCCCAGCCTCGCTACYGCATCCCATGGGATCCCGGGAAGGCCGTAAGGAAGCGCTGCAGCCCCAGCGCCTCCTGACATGCTGTTAATTGCGAGCCTGACCCTCTGATTTCCTATTTTAATTTCCACCCACTCCGCGTGCCCTGGAAGGCGACAAGGCAGCACTTAGAGACCCGGAGCCACTGGAAGCCTATTTGGCAGTTAATAGGAATCCTCGCTGCGGTGTGAAAGAGAGCTCTCAAAGAACTGCCTCTCTGCTAAAAAATGCAGYCCCTCATTGCTCTGAAGAACCAATWTGTGTTTAAAGAGGCACGTCCCATGGGTTTAGGGTTGCCCCGGGTGGTAATCCAACACTTTGAGCTCACAACTGCAAATTCTTCCTGTTATTGTATAGCTAAAAGTTTTTATATTATACATAATGGCAATTTTGAAGAATATTTGTACTTCATAAACCTTTCTGGCTTTGAATTATTGATATAATTGCTAGTGATAGGGTTGAGTATGGAAAGAAACTTCTAACTGAACCGAAGCGCCTCCTTGCAAACACAGGTGAACATCTGAGAACGGTACCGGGCTAATAATCAGCTGTGGAGCCACTGCAATTAGACTAATTACTGTGGTCGAGCTCGCTGAGAAGTACCCTCCTCCGCCACGCTCTGCGCGGGGGATTTCCCAGGCCCCATGGGGCGCCCCATGTGCCCCGGACACACACCCAGCCGTCCCGCCGCACGAGGCTGCAGCCTTTGCGGGACCCACACCCCACGCACGGAAAACCCTGGTCCCACGTGGGCAAATCCCCTTTCCCACATGGACCCTCTCAGCTGGGCGCCCGGGTGCCCTCTGATCCGTGCACCACTACAGCTCGCGCATCACGTCTCGGTTCGGGAGCTCCCGAGGTCTCCACCACCTCGGGCAGCAGGGCTGAGGCGGCCTGGCCTCCTCTCCCGCTCGAGAGCTCGAGCCGCAGCCTGCTCTCCTGCTCAGCAGCCCCGCTCCCTGCCACCCGCCTGCCAGCGGCRCAGAGAGGGGGTCCCTCTGGACCATTTGCATCTTTAAAAAAAACAAGCACGCACTTCCACTTACAAGAGTGAGCTGAGTAAAACATCTACATGCTTTCTGAATATCCAGAAGTTAAAGAGATGAAAATTATAAAGGAAAAAAAGAAAAAGAGCCTCCACCTTTCCCACACACCAGAATAAACTCAGTAGTAAAGGAAGGAACCTTCTATTCCAGCTCTTTCCCTATTCCCCCTTTAGTCTAAAGACTGAAAGAAATTAAACAACTAAGCAAGAAATTCAACTCTTCAGCGTACAGAAAACACTAAACCTGAGCACTGCCTTAGCGCTCCTCCACCAGACTTTAAGCAAAGGTGGGCTTGGATCCAGCTTACCAAGACTGGTAAAGCCACCGTCCCCTTCTGCTACATCCTCACAGACCCTCTGCGGAGGACGAGCCGGGAGGCGGCGGCACCGCGGGGCCACGTCTCTGCCGGCCTCGGTCCTGCCTGCCACCTTGCTTCTGAGAAACCCTCCAAGCAGCCACTTCTGGCTCCAGCACCAGGGCTCTGCTGCCAGCCGCGTGCCAGGAGATCTGCCAGAGCCTGTTCTGCCACCTGAAGTTAATAACAGGAAAGAATTAACGTGCATCAGCTGTGTGGTGACACTGCACCTGAGCTGGGTAAGGCACTGCAGCTGGCAACGGCCACAGCCAGCATCACTGCTACGAGAAGCACGTCTCGGTTTGTTCCGCATTTAAAGGGTGGAGGAAATGTCAGGGAAATTACTCTTGAAGAAAAGCCAGGCACCTATGGCTAGAAAAAAAGCTTCCTTTCATTTTGCATATTGTCACTGATCCTCTCTCARTGCAGCAGCTCTGCAATTCACTCTRTGAAAGAAGCTGAGTTGTACAGAATTGCTAAAACGCACTGCGACAAACTTCCATCAAAAAAAAAATTAATTCTGTCTACTACTAGTATTAACAAGAATACTATGTTTCTCAACCATGTTTATGTTACTTTTATTCTGCTACTGTTGGGAACTGAAAATAGATGTGAATAGCATGTCACACTGCAATGCCAGGCAGCTTCTAGCTCCAAACACACCTCATCCACCATTTGAAATGCATATTACAGCTAAGTTGATTTAGGTGTTGCCCAGATATTCACTGAGTCATCAGGTTACACATTCAAGAAAAAAAGACTTTTAAGAAACCCTAAAATCCATTTTAACCTTTGTGCAGCTACCCCATACCTGCCACCYCATGTGAGCTCCTGCAGGACTTGCAACCTACTCCACAAGAGGGCAACCAAATTCCACCATAAAAYGGATAAATCATTTGGTATATTTTAAAGGTGACCATTCATTTTTATCTAAAACCCCAAATCTCTCTCCATGCTGGTGTAAAGGCTCCTCGTGATATGAACATTTCAGCATGTGTTCTCAACAGGAAGAATTTCRGCCATCCCAAATTACACAGAGGACAGACAGCTGGAAAACACCAGGGCATCCCCTGCCCAAGGAGGAAACCCAAGATGCTTCAGGCGCAGGAAACACCAGTTCAAGCTTTTCACATGACTTGGAACAGAGACCCTGGCTCTGCTGCCTGCTGCTCCCGTGGCAGTGCCAGACGGGCCTGTCCCTTCTCCAGCCGTGTTTTTCAAGACACCTTTTCTGTCTAAGATCAACGGCCCYTGGCAGAATGCCCAGACTTCAAGATTCCCGAATTCAGAACTGAAATGAGGCAACCTGCCTATTCAGACACACAGGAAACTCAGCTAACTGTTACCAGACTTCGTATTGGAGCAGAACCTTAGTGCTCTTTTGTACTTACAGACACCTTAAATAGCTACACTGAAATAATTTTGAACCAAAATAGGATATCGATACAGGATGCAGGTATATAATTAAAGGCAATAGTGTTGGTATCATGCTGTGTTGGTATCATATATTCATTCTCTTCTTAGCTTTTTTACTGTTTAACTCAATTACGGCTACATATTATGAAAATAAGCATCAATATCCGTATTATCTTTTCAGAAAGTCCCTCTGCAAAATCCCTCCGGTTGTGTGAGTGGGGGAGCTGGTGCAGGCGACTCGCTCTAGGCCCTAGCAGTCGGCTACAGCAGCACAACTTACTTGGAACATTACCCTCGTTTACTCCGTAGGCAAACCCAAAGCAGTGACAAATTAGCCAGCGCTAGGCGAGACTGGGGGCTCCGCAAGGCTCCGCTCCCAAGCTCATTACAAAGCTGCTGCTGCCGGAGCGCTAACGAGCACGAGAGGCAGCCGCACAACCCCCAGCAAAGCCCCAACAAAAACGAACACACTGCCCCATCCAAACACTCACTAAGCAGGCTCATCAGATTAAGAACAATTTGACACACCGAATTTCCCAAGGAATCTAAGCTTTGGTTTCTGCTTTTTCACTACTGCTGCAAAGCACCCAAAAATTTAAAAATAACCTTTTYTTTTTCCTAGTCCATAAAAATACTACTTTCATTTGTAGGGTTTTGTGCAYTTGTTTTCTTCTTCGGCCGAGTCCAGTTTTGAACACACAGGTCTGTAAACACGCGGGTATCTAAGGAGAAGCTGAGCAGCAGAGCACTTACTGTTCGGGACTCGAAACCGAAGTCCTTCGCCCTTCCACAGCAATATTGCTCTTGGGTCTCTTCACAACATGAGGTCTTGGAGGCCGGACCTACACGGAAGAAATTTCATCAAATACTGCAAGCTGATCCAACAAAAAGCAACAATGACAACAAAATCTGCCATTATCTTAAATGTATCTTCCATTTAGAATTGCTTCTAAACTTTATTTTTATGTGCTACAATGAAGCCACAATTTTGTCAGCATTAATATGAACCACAGCACCCATAACTCATTAAAAGACTTTCCATAAAAAAAATGTTTCTAAGTCTCAAATGACTCACTTTTGTCACTGACCACTCGCTAATAGCCCAGAACTGAACAGTTACCTCAGTGTCCTGCTTGGTACAGGTTAAGCCTCTGGTAAAAGATTTCCTAAATGGGAACTTCATTGAAACAGTTAATTGAAATATTAGAAATGGAAAACCCAGTGCCTGCTTGTACATTGTATGGGACATCATATCTGAGCTCTAGCACCACTACCTGTCCACTTGTTCCTAACAAACCAGCTTAAGAAGCAAAGGATTTGGTGCAGGGAACACTGAAAACACCAAGGCATAGACTAAATGTTACAACACAAAAAGCACTGCTCATTTTTCATAAAAAATTGCTTCCTTTCAGTAGTTGGGTTTATCCCCACAACTGCGATGTTGGTGGATCTTCTTTCTGTTGTCTGCAGTAAAAGCTAGAGGCTTGCTGCAACGGTGCTGCTGCTGTCAGTCCAGTCTTACGTGACATATCCATCATCTTCTGAACTCCAGCTTAATTTTCCCATAAACCTCCACAGGAGAGAAGCTTCCCTTCGAGGAAAGGAATAAGCACATGATGACAGGAGGTTTGCGTGGGGCCTCCCGCTGCCGCTGCCACCCGTGAGCACGGCGCCAGCCTGCCCACGTCAGCACCAGCGCAGGCTGCGCAAACAAGCTCTGCAGCTCCTGCTAGCCAAGCACGGCTTATCTGAAACAAAGCCTAATTTGTTGGCTTAGCTGAATGCCGGCTTCACTAGGAATCCCCAAAGTCCTCAAATAAACGAAAGAACACAACTCAACTGCTGCCCTTAATAGCTGCAGCAGCAGGGACGGTGCCAGCGGCCAGGCCGAGGCACTCTGTGCACGACTGCTGAATTTGTTTGCAATGATAGATGAGGGTTTCCCCACCTCTGCGAGCTTTTAAGAACTGTATTTTCTTGCAAGGAAAAAGCCACCAGACTGTGCATAGAGCTGAAGCGCTTCACAACACTATGCAGGAGATAACAGCAGGATTATTGTCTTGAATTTTCATTTCAAAGGAAATAGTGTACAACAGAAATGGTGAAGAAATTCGGAGATGCGCTGCCACTATTCCTTAGGAAAAAAGATTTATAAAAAGGTCAGATGTTAAGGTCTTGAAGATCAGTCCCCACACAGGGCTGTTCCTCTCTACACTAAAGACAGCTTAAGAATGTGAATTTATGGCAGGAATGGAAGGATTAAGTTTGTGGCAACTTCAACTGAACTTGCAACGTGGTGAAACATGGGGAAAAGAACAACAGAGCTAATTAGACGAGCTGAGCTGTCAGAGTGCGGCTGAATGGCTCGGTGCCAACAAACAAAAGGAATGGGCTGGCAATCAGCAGGATCGATGAAGAATACTGCTTCATTAGGGTTGATAAAACACAGAGCGAGGAGCGAGGGAGAGCGCGTGCAGGAGGGGCAGGGAAGCAGCAGCGGCTGGGGGGAAGAGAACGAGGGAGAAAGGGAAAGAGAGGAAGAAAAAAACCTGTTTAATTAAATCGGAGCTGGAAGATGATGTGTAAAGCTGGCTTGTCATCATGCTGTGAACACTTTCACCTTTTGGGTGGTACCCTGGGGGCGTGATGGTGAGGAGGGAGAAAGATGAGAGTTGTGGRTGGCTCCAGGGGGCTGGCGGAGCAGTGAAGTGCGGGGCGACATGCTAAGAGGCATTTCCAGCATTGTTCATGGCAAAAAGCAGGGAAAAGCCAGGAACCAAGCCAATTCCTTGCTGGATTTTGAGCYTTACGTAGCCAAATAGGCAGGGTTAAATGCATATCAAATGCAAAAGTATGAAAGAAATCCAATTATATGAGCATACAGCCAGGAGAATAAAGGTGAATATCCAGGACAGAAGGCTTAAATGTGCTTATTACAGTCCTCACCAACTTTTTTGCACAATTATTTCATTAYTACTTGTTTTCAAAAAATTGAATGAAGTTCCAAAGAGCCTCCATTAATCCAAACAGAACTCTCTTAACTATAAGCAGCAGCCTTCTCTCTTTCTCAGGACCTTCACAATTCACTTCCCAAACAGCACAACGTGAAGAATATTATCTGTTATGCTTCCTTAACCTTTCTCTGGTCTATGTTTTTCTTTTTATCATCAGTAATGATTCATGCTGCAAGCACTACTGCCCATGGATCCCTCTGGTARCAGCTAAATCCTGAAAACAGCAGGTATTTCTTGGCAACTCTGCTACCACATGGACCTGGCTGGAGGAGCAGGGGGACCTGGCCTCTCATTCAGGGCTTGCCGCAAAACACTAGGACCAATTGCTTCTCCATACCCACCTCTAATGTATGCCAAGATTAAGAGGGTGAAAAAACAGCCTGTACAAAGTGTTATTTACACACACAAAAATGCATTTCATCTATTAAAAGCCAAATAACAGTTCTGAACAACAACAAATTTATGCATATTTGGTACAAGCATATTTTGGGGGAGTGATTATAATCATTTACATTTATCTGGAATTTCCTCTTGATGAATGAAGCATTTCTGTTCCACTTATTGGCACAGCTAGATGAATGCAACAGGAGCTTTTATTATTACATTTCCAACCGTTTATCAATCACATTAGGAGCAGAGACAGTTGACACAAACACATTATACTGAGGACTGCTAACGTCCTACAGCTGGGAGATTAACCARTCTTAGCAAGATCCACTTGGATGCAGTGAACTGTTCAGTGTGCGCGATCCTGCTCGGCGCTCATGTGCCGGGAACCCCGGCGGGCTCCGCAGCCCCGGGGAGCCCCCAGCACCACCGGACAGGCAGGGAAGTTTGTCCCCAGCGTGGTGCGTCCGAGGTCTCCCACACCAGGGAGGTTCAAGAGAACACACACAAGCAGAGGCACCGCTACCTTAGCACACACAGAACTGAAGCGTTCAGTGCAGGAGGCCAGAACAACTCTGTTAAGTCAAACACCCAGAGGTAGAAAGAGGGAGGAGAAGGAAAACATGCTACTGAAACCGAGAAACATGCACCAAAGACCAAAAGTTAAAACACACCCGAGTGCATTTGTTAACCAGTCGCCTGCTCATCTAAAACTAAACACTTCAAACAAGTTTTAGCAAGATTAGATTTGAAAACTTGCATCTCTCTCTCAGGCATATGCATCAACATACGTGGAAGCAAGGAATAAGCTGCACTTGTCTTTTGGTGGAATTAAAATTCACGATGCAAAAATGCTGAATGGAATTAAATACCCCCCAAGCCTGCTGCAAAAACACCTCAGGTCCCTTCAAAACTATTTATTTCCTGAACTGGAAAGAGAGTCCCCAGTGCTGATCCAGTAAAGCTTCCATTTTTAAAGGCTTCTAGTAGAGATAACATAACAATTTGCCTACTGTGTTTTGAATTAAATGTTGCTCAATTATCTGTGCCTAATACAGTGACTGAGAATAATCTGTGTGCAGTTCTTCCATGAGAGTCACCTCTCCTCGCCAAGACACTCTGCCGGCAACGTGGATCCTATGCAATTAAGGAGATTCTCAGCTAGCAGGGTAAATGAGCATAGTATAGATGTCTATCGACCACTGTGTAGTTTTAGCATCCTAATACTCAAACGCAGACTTCATTTTATTTAGATGCATTCACTCATCTATTCCAGGAAGAAAAAATAAGCATCCCAAATTAATTTAAAGCAGAACTTGGGGAGAATAAATACTTTATCTTCAGATTTCTGCTTCCTTTCATATTTGAGCTTAGTGCAAGTCTTCAAAAACTCACTGGCTAAAAACTTATGCCAGCCCAGCAAGAATTTTGGTTTAAGAAATCACCACAAAAGTAAAAACAAACGTTGCAACAGCAGCATCAGTTACCTGCAGAACTGACTGAAAGTTGCAGAACTCGTCAAAGAAAAGCAGAATAAATGCAGGTCCCAGGCTGTGCCACAGCAGAGAAGGAGGCAGTTTAGGAGCATAATTCTCACATTGCTTTTTTTGCAAAGTTCAACAGTCGAAACTATTAAGATTTAGTAACGCTACCAAGAGAGCAATTCAGGCAGTGTTAAGCTGTGGCAGTGAAACAAAACTCCCAGCTACTCACGGGCCTAGAGGAGCGCTGTATCTTTGGAGGCGGCGGCCGGGGCGGACGGACTCTTTGCTGCTGTATCAAAGTGGAAACTTAAGTCATGGGTAAATTAAAGTAATTAATAGCCACCTACACGAAATACCTCTGGTTTTGTGGCAAAAGCAGTTTGAGCGGATGGCAACGTGCAGTTACGCTCATACTCACCTCACAGAATATAAATGTTTCAAAGCAGGGACAATCTCATAACCTACCAAGTGCCGCAACAGGAAGGCAGTGCKACCTGCCTCTGTGACAAATATATTTTGTGAAGGTCATGTTCAATCAAGGTTATCATGGTAACTGCTCCAGACTGAATCATCCAGAATTTACTGAGACTCCTTAGACCCTTAGGGTGGATCCTAACCTGACGTCCCAAGCACCCGGCAAAGTAGAATTTTATGAGGAGCTTCCACTAAAATCTCAGGACTTCTGCTAAAGGCCTCAAACCAGCAAAGGCATTTAAGGACATGAGAGATAAAGTCTCTCATACACTTTCATACACTTACAGAAGAACACGTGCTTACATACCCTACTGCATCCAGGCTTGGGCGCCTGGCCTAGAGCAAAGCGGGCATYGACGTAGGAAAGAAGACAAGAAGACAAAGTCACTGGCAGCTCCAAATGAAAACAGATCTGTGCAAGACCCCAGCAYCAACAGTGCTAGCTGAGGAGACCACAGTTGGATTATTTCAAGCTTCTCAAAA